AGGGTTCTACCTAACCTCTGTTCCAACTGGTTCAGAGTTTCTATTTTAATATTTAGATCTTTAATCCATTTTGATTTTAGTTTAGTGCATGGTGAGAGACATAGGTCTAGTTTTAATCTTTGGCAAGTTGAAGCCCAATTTTTCCAGTGGGAGAGCTTTTAAAGTAGATTAAATGGCCCCTGCCAAGTGAAAGGCCTCCCTCCACATTTAAACTATTAATTCTACTCAACAGCCAAATGCTATCTTGATACACACTGAACTTTTCAAGTCTAACAGTTTTCACTTTGACCTTCTATGGACAGGGTTGAACTGCAGTTTGTATGTATGTATGTATGTATGTATTTATTTATTTATTTTTGAACTGCACTGTTTTAAACATGAATCTTCACACAAGGCTGTTAACCTTATACAGGTACTTATTACATAATATAAGCAAGATAATTTTTGATCAACCAACACAACATTCCTGGTCTAGTGTGTAAGACTACTAATTCAAATTATGTGGTCCAAATTCTTGTTCCCAAATTCTCAGGCCCACCTAGGGTTAAGGATTTGATTCACAGTGCATTTCATATAGGACTTATAAACTTAACTTAATTGGAACAGGTTGAATCTGGTGTCAGGATTTTAGTTCAGCAGTTAACAACTACTCCTATAGTAGATTTAGAGTCACATAGTGCTATCCAAAGATCCTTTTCCGAAAAAACCTGAATAGATCCAACATAATCTACAGAAACTGCTACCTGGACCAGTTAGCTGGTTATCAGACCTCTTCACAATGCCACTCGGTCTTCAACAAAGTAGGTACACTGCAGATGTCTAGGCAGCCTCACAATACGAACAAACACATTCATATTGCAAGGACTACATCTCAGGAAGCCACCAATAACCAGTAACAATGACTGCAACAGCTCTCAATTACCAAGAGTTACTATACACCAAGACCTTCTGCTTGACTTTCCATTTTACTTCCCACTGATCCTCACTACAGTACAATGTAAGACAGATCAAAACAAATACACATACACACATGCAGAAAAAAACTTTTACAGGAAATAGAGAATTCAGAAAACAAAAAGTAGTAAGATAATCAAATTACAAACACGAAGGAAAAAAGACAAGTAGAGAATGAATACAGTAAGTCCAGAATCTTAACCCCAACTGAACAAATGGAGAAAACAGTATGGAGAAAATTATTGCTAGACTACTACCAAAACCGTTCCAGAAACAAAGCTCCCAGGCCTCTGTGTATACTGTTCTACAGACCACTCATGACAATAAATTAAAAAGTTCATGCCTATTATAACTTTAAAAATTAGGGATGGAAGGGTGGGGATTTAGCTCAGTGGTTTCACTGCCTGCTGCGCAAGCACAAGGACCCAAGTTCAATACCTGGTACCAAAAAAAAAAAAAAAAAAAATTAGGGTTGGACTGGGTGTAGCTCAGTGGCAGAGAACTTCTACCATGCATAAGGCTCATTCCCAGGACTGCAGAAACAACCCAGTACTGATAATAAAATATTACTTTTAAACTGATAAACTTTCAAGAAAAAAGTCACATCACCGGTTAGTATGACACTAGACTTCTCAAAACTGAAAATGAAACAACGAAATGCTGTCAAAGTGATTGAGGGAAATCATTTGTAGCAGGTTTTCTGGGCAGAGTCCTACCTTAAGCAACTAAGAAAGGAAAAACAGAAGGACACAAAAGGGCCCACATTTTATCTCTACACATCATGTCTCATTACTGTAGAATATGCTGTGGCAAAAGAACAGAATAAACCAGAAAAGTCAAGGTGGGTGGGTTCTAGCAACAGGGGATCCAAGAAAGGAAACAGCCAGTGTAGGTCCCTGACAAAAGTGGGCATCCCAGGACAGCAACTATGCAGCAGCCCCAGAGCCATCACTCCAGACTGTATGAAGATGGAGCCAATACCCTATGACTATTTCCTTCCTTTATTTACCACTGTTCCTAAAAGTGGTTGGTGATTACACCAAACTTTAGTGAAGTTAAGGGAGAAGCCATTATAAATGGGATAGTTCAGAACACTTCTCAGCAGATTTCTGTTCTACTACCTGAACAATGCTTCCTGAGCTATTTTTGATTATAGTTATATTGTTGTTCATTGGCGGACATCTATGTGTTCTCTGGATACTTAACCCCAATTACTACGAAGGCTGGTCCTAGCAAACACAGTGTTAAACTCTCTCACTGACCCATGGTCTTAGGCTAGTGCGGAGGCTGAAGCATGTGGAGGAGGGTCTGCCATATGTGGCCCAGCCAGTACTGCTCTATCCCATGGCTCCAGACACTGCCCCCAACTGGTGAGCACACTAAAAATCACAAGCCACTATTAGCAAGATCAGACCAATGAGTGTGAGTACCTAAGTCTCTTACCACTGCTGAAAAACACCCCAAACAATTATCCTATTGATGAGTAAGTTTTCTTTAAGCATTAATATAGACTTTTTCCTTTCCAAATCAGTGTCACTGATAAAAAAGGCTACACAGTATTTCTAGACAATGAAATAGGAGCAATACGACATCATTAAGTAAGAATAAATATACCTTTCCCTGGAAGCTTCATCTGGGATACCTAGGCATATTTCTCGGTCAAACCTTCCCGCACGTCTCAAAGCAGGGTCTAATGAGTCTGGTCGGTTTGTAGCTCCAATGACTAGGACTTGAGCAGTAGCAGCCACATTATTCAGATCTGTAAGAACCAGCTACAGATGAGAGGTGAACAAAACATCTGACTCCGAGGGCAATGATTCTTATACAAATCACTTAACATTTAAAAAGCATTACACATTTTAACAGATATGTATGTTTTAAATATACATATAAAACACACTATATGTCTAACATGTAAAAAGTATGGGGAAGACAAAATACCAACGTTTTCTCAGTAATTATAATCTATTGAGAAATATTAAGTACATAATTAAGAAAAAACAGGGTGTAAGGGCCGGGATTTAGCTCAGTGGTTTTGCCGTCTGCTGCGCAACCGCAAGGACTCGAGTTCGATCCCTGGTAACAAAAAAAAAAAAAAAAAGAAAACAGGGTGTAAGACAAGTGTTGTGAAGTACAGTGATAGGAACTATATAAAAAAAGCACTGCCATAAAATAAGGAAAGTATTATGAACTGCAACAGAGGAATAGGGAAGAAATAACTTTTCAGAAAAGTCTGAAAGGTGAATATGATTTTGATAAGCAAAGATACAGGTTAATGAAATTCTACACAGAATGTGTAAAACCACGGAAGCTGGAGCACATCTGACATGTTTGGGCAAGGTGTGCATCCAACAATGGGGAACCTGGGGTCGATAGCAGTATGTTCCAGAAGGATGACGAATTAACTTGAGACATGGGGTACAAAAGTCCAAGCTGCTCTGCCTTCATCTAGAGATACGTTTTTTTTAAAGGAATGGACAGAATGCAAGGCTTATCTTTCCTAAATGTTATTTCTCCCACGTGAACCAGGATTGAGCAGCAGGAAGCCTGAAGTTATACTCCCTTACAGGAAGATGCTAACTAAATCCTGATTATTTAGCTGGGTGTGGTGGTGTACACCTATTGATCCCAGACCTTGGGAGGGTGAGGCAGGAGGATCACCTTGAATTCAAGGCCTGACTGGGCTACACAGAGTTCAAAGCCAGCCTAAACTACACAGCACAGACTTCCCTCAAAAAACTAAAGAACAAAACGAAATAAAAAGTCATTAAGATTTTAGATACTGCATTCTTTAGCTAGAGAAAAGCCATGAAAAACTCTTCACAGAATACAGGCCTCAATAGCATTGCCGTGAATAAAATAAAACAACAGAATGAGCAACTTTAAATTGGCACAAGGAACATCAAGTATGTACTACTTTAACCTTTCCTTGTACAGAAAAGCAAGTAGAATTTCAAAGAAGGGAGAATCTAATTCCACAATTTCTGATTCCTATGCCCTAAATGTGTATCTAATAATTGTATTTAAAAATAAAAAACCAGGGGCCAGGGATTTAGCTCAGTGGCACCATGCCTGCCTTGCAACCACAAGGTTCTGAGTTTGATCCCCAGTACCAAAATAACTAACAACTAACAAAAAACAAGTTACAGACAGGGAGAAAAATCTGTGCAATTTTAAAAGTACTCCTTCCAATCTAGTGGTTCTGGCATGAACTAGGGCCTCCCACAAGTCAGGCAAGCATTCTGACACTCAGCTACACCCTCAACCTGCAAGCCATTTTTAAGATAATTCAATAAAGCAATGGACAAAGGGATAAGAAATGAGATTCTGGAGATGACACAAACAGCTAAAGAAATCAGAAAGATGCATAACCACAATGGGAAATGCAAATTAAATGAGATACTAATTTTCAATAAACAGATTGGCTCAAGTTAAAATAACTGGTAATATTCAATATTGCCAAGGATCTGGAAAAAGGGAGACTCATATAATGTTGAGGGAAATGTAAACTGCAAACTCTTAGAAGACAATTTGGCCTTTTCCATTAAAAAACAGAAAACTTTTGGGGCTGGGGATTTAGCTCAGTGGTTCCACTGCCTGCCTCACAAGGGCAAGGACGAGTTCGATTCCCGGTACCAAAACCAAAAAAACAAACAAACAAAAAAATGCATAAAACTTTTTTTCACTATTTGGTTTTGAAGCAGACTCACTATGTAGCCCAGGCTGGCCTTGAACTTCTCCTGCCTCAGCCTGCCCAAATGGTGGGATTACTGGCATGAACCACCATACCTGGCTTCCCATGAAAACTTAAAAGATAATTTTCAACTGTCAATTCAATTTCTGCTATTTATCATAGAAATATACATGTGCACCAAAAGGCTCCTTTTAAGAACATTCCCTTGAAGCAAAAAAATTGAAAACAACTTAAATATCCATCAATGTGGGAATGCTTAAACACAATATGGTGTTTCTATCGTAAATGATTCCACACACCACTCTAAAACAGGTTAAAAAATGTGGAAATATTTCCAAGACATATTGCTAAGGGACAAATAAGTTGAAGAACAAAGTGTATAGTACAATGCCAGAATTATTAAAAGTAGAACAATCTGTTAGTATATGTGTATGTAAATGGATTAAAAATAATGATACACTTTACAAATTTTAAATCAGGGGTTTAGTCTTTTTTTTTTTTGTACCGGGGATCGATCTCAGGACCTTGTGTTTGTGAGGCAGGTGGTGGAACCACCAAGCTAAATCCCCAGCCCCTGGGGTTTAGTCTTTTATTAAAAAGATTTCTTATTTTACACTGTGACATTTACTGTTTGAATGTTTTATATCTTCATGTATGACTTATACTGTTTTAAGGATGTATTGTCTTTAAATGAATTCATTATTTTAAACTGACCATCCATACAGGATAGAAGCTGAGCTACAATTCTTCGTTCCATGTCTTTTGAAGCAACTTCTCTTTTGGGAGTAATAGCATCAATTTCATCAATGAAAACAATGCATGGTGCACTTGACTAGAAATAAAAATATCACAAAAAGACAATCATATATACATTCCATATACTGAAGCATAGTTAAATATATGCATGTTTTAGCATTTTAAAGATCAAGTATCATTCACTGAAAGAATTACCCTCACAGTGTGTTAGGTCTGATTTCTACGTGTCTTAAAGGGAACCAAGATGTTTAAAAGAGGACAGTAAGAGACTACAGGCTATCACACTTACAGTCTTTTCATCAATCCATGTTTTGAAAAAGCTACTGACATTCTTTTGTAAATCAGACATTTTCTATCATACAGAATATAAACAGTAACTTTTAAAACTTTAAATCAGAAACCCTAAGTTCACTACAAATGTTATTAAATATTTTTACCAACATAAAATGTCCATACTTTAAAAAAAATTAAAAGCTGAGTATAGTGGCACACGCCTGTAATCCCAACACCCAGGAGGCTAAGGCAGGAAGATTGCCATGAGTTCAAGGCCAGCAAGGGCTACATATTGAGTTTAAGGCCAGCCTGAACTACATAGCTCAAAAAAGTAAAAAAAAAAGCCAGGTGTGGTGGTGCACCTCAGTAATCCCAGAACCCGGAGGGCTAAGGCAGAATGACTGCTGAGTTCAAGGCCACTTTGGAGCTAGAGTTCAAGGCCAGTCTGACCTACTTAGCTAGACCCTATCTCAAAAACAAAACCAAAAACAGTCCATGCTTTCCTTTGGAATCTGCCAGGAGAGGAACTTAAGAAGTACCATAAGTTTTTAAATTGTGGCAAATATATAAAATGTACCATTTTAAGAGTACAGTTCAGTGGCATTAAGTACATTCAGTGTTATACGATCATTGCCACCATCTATAGAATTTAACATCCTATGTCAAAACCCATCAGAGTTTATTCTAGCCTAAAAAAAAAAATTAGTTTTCTGCCCAGAACTACCTTTTCTGATCTGACCCCTTTCTGAGCCCAGGGAAGGGGCTGCTAAATCTTGTCTTTACTAAACACTGACTTAAGCACAGTACTGGTTTAGAGATGTAAACACAGAATTCATGTCCTGAAAGTGCCATTTGTCCCTCTTATCATTATTCAGCATTGTGTTTACCATAAACACAAAATTTACTACCTATCCCTGGCTACATATGCCAGTTAACAACTGAAATGGCACATTCTGGAAAACAGGAGGCACCTCAGAAAGAGTCAGCCTAACTTTGCACACTGCCTTTCCCACCTTTCTCTGCATTCTTCCTTATCATGCCCACACTTTTTTTAGTGTCAGCCTACACAACAAACCAAGTGGATGGGCTCCACTCTTGAAATATTTTTTCTCAGTTACTGCTGAAATTCACTGCTAAGATATAATTTATTTTCTAATTTCACAACAGCCTCTAGCAGTTGTATCAGCCATGTTCATCAGCTATTATACAGTCTAGATGCAAATAAAGACATGAAATTAAAATTTTCAGTATCTTTTAGTTTTAGCCACAGTGATAATTCCTATCTGCTCAAGTGATTTCTGTTCAAGTGTGTATAACAATATGATGGCTAATATTTACAGGGTTCTTGCTGTAAATACTCTCAACAACACTGTAAGATCTAGGCATATTATTAACCATATTTACTAGTAAGGAAATTGAGGGCACAGAGTGGTTAAATATCTTGTCCAACATCACATGTGATAGCACAGGATCTGAACCTACCTTTTTCACTCAAATTACACTCAAATTTCACTCAAATTACTTAACCATGACACTGTGCTGAAAGTAAAATTTTACACTTGATCATAGCCAAAGGCAAAGAAATGACTGAAGGTAAAACTTTAATGGGATGTATACATCACCTTCCAAAATTTTTTTTTCACCTTCCAAATTTTAATAACATAAAAGCCAAAGAAGAAAAGCGCCAAATTTTAATAATAGAAATTACAATTAGGGTAAAACCCAATCTGTAATTCTCTGGTAGAGAATTTTCTTTATACAGCTTCAATTATACAAATAGAAGTGTTTATTCTGGCATTTTTATGGTTTCTTTTATAATGTAATAAGCCTAGATATAACAATGTTCACAGTGCTTAGAAGTTGTTTGATCAAACCTAGGTTGAGAAAAGTAAAAGTGAATGAAAATATCCTAAGGATGACATATATTCAACATATGACTACTGGGTATGATGGTCAGACCTTTCTACAAATTATCTTTATGTCTGATTTCACATCAAACAGATTACTTATGTAAGAGCCCATATCATTAAGTCTACTTTAAATATTTAGTTGTCATGTGTAGCCAAATGCCATATTTAAAAAAGAATGGCCAGTGAAAGAGATAACAAATACATAGTAGCATCAGAGAAAGCATGTAACATCTGACAACCTGACATTAGCCATTAGCTAACTCACCACAGCTTGTTCAAATAAGTCTCTGAGCTTCTGTTCAGATTCCCCAGAAACTCCTGACACAATCTCTGGAGCAGCCACTTTCAGAAGCGGCAGGTCAAGTTCCTGTGCACAAACATGTAACAGCATGACCAAATATTCAAATATTAACCTCCTTAATGTTTCCCTACCTAGCCCCTCACCAAAATTGCATATTTAAAATGACTGATTTCCCTAGGAACTTCATCTTTGTGAGCTGATCCAATGAAAACGACTAACAATTTATGCAAACACATTACGTAGAGATTTTCTACCTGTTTTCACTTTACTAATGTCACTATAAAACTATTGCCTCTTAAATATCAAGAAATATGATCCCTCCCACTTAGGGCTGAGCTAAAACAACTGTATCAGTTATATATGATTACAGGAGAGAAATGGCAGAGTTGTTTCCCACATACCCTGCTTGCATTTCTCCAGCCTTAGACCTGGCAGAGCCAGTTACTATTCAAGGTAGGCTCTTTTAAGGACCAGAAGCCTGGCATGGACCATACGCCAGTAATCTCAGCACTTTGGGAGCCTGAGGCAGGAGGATCACAAGTTCAAGCCTAGTCCTAGCAACTTAACATGTTCACGATGGGGACATAATTTGTATGTCTTGCTGCTGGGCGGCTGATTTGACTTCGATTGTTACATCAGCTTGAACCGCAGTGGTACATGATGGCTGTCCAAACAGGCGGCCCGTGCCGCTTCTCAGGGGTCTTCCATTACAATATGCAAAGAAAGCCACTGGTTTAGCAGACCACGTTTCATCATGTTTCGGTTCTTTAAAGGAAACATCAAAATGGCATAAAAAACTGTTACACAGCTGATGTGTGGTACAGCAGTCGTAAATGCATATTTTCTATACCAGCAAAGGGGTATATGCATGATTTCTATGTTAAAATTTAGAGAATTATTGATAACCTATTAGTCAACATGAATGTCTTTTAATTTAATGATTTGTCAATTATTGTAACAGTTTTTTTTTTGGTACTGGGGATTGAACTCAGGTTCTTGCACTTGCGTAGCAGGCGGCGAAACCACTGAGCTAAATCCCCAGCCCAATTGTAATAATTTTTAATTGGCATGAATAGTACTGATTTATATCTGGGCAGTAATTAATCAAATTCACATAACTAAGTAGATTTGGTCCTTTATAGACTTATCTTTATTAGTAAAAAGACCAATAAAGGTGATTAGATCCATTTGTACCACCAGTGATACAAGCCTCCCAATGGGACAGTCATGCATGTACCATTGGTGGTTCAAGCCAGCGGGAGTGTGCTAATTTAATGAGACTCTGTCTCAAAATATAAATAAAATGGACTGAAAATATAACAGCTCAGAGTGAAGGCCTTATGGTCAATCTCCAGGCCCACCAAAAAAAGGGAAAAGGAAAAGTTCAGAAATTCCCTAAGTGCAAACGGCAACAAACCATTCTGGCTACCCTGAAATTTCACTTCCTCAACCACACTTTTGACCCTGACTAGAACTTGGATGTCCCAAAACTCTACATAGCATTCTGTACTTTTTTGTTCCACCTTTTATAATTACTAGGTACCACATTTGTGGACATGAATTACTTTAATGTTTCCTTTTCATATTAAAACTAGATTTGCTGTACTTACTGCTATATTCCAACATTTGCCATGCAGCAGTCTTACACAACAGATTCATTGAACAAAAGTGAACATTCACGTTCTCCTTTAAAAATGATTTTCTTGGGCTGGAGATTTAGCTCAGTGGTTCCGCCGCCTGCCTCACAAGCGGAAGGTCCTGAGATCGATCTCCGGTACAAAAAAAAAAAAAAATTTATCCTAAAAATGATTTTCTTGGGCTGGAGATTTAGCTCCATGGTTCCAACACCTGCCTTGCAAGTGCAAGGTCCCGAATTCGATCCCCAGTACCAGAAAAAAAAGAAAAATGATTTTCTTTCACAGAACATTAATCTGTTAATGACTAGTATAATATTCTATTCAACAAACTCCAGTTACTTGGATATTTTGCATTTTACTACCCAATAGTTTCTAAAAAATCTTATAGGGCTAAGTATAATCATTAACTTTATTTTGTCAAGTATCTTGTATTATCATCTAGAAAAGATACTTTACCACAAAAATGTAAGAACATGACACATGGAAATTTTGAATAAATTTAGCTGTATAAAAACAATACTAGAGTCTTTTATTGCGTTGCTCTTAAGAACTACTAGGTTAGCCAAGGATTTAGCTCAGTGGTTCTGTAGCCTGCCTTGCAAGCTCAAGGTCCCAAGTTCGATCCCCAGTACCAAAAAAACCACAAAAAAAAACCCAACTACTAGGTTACAGGGTAAGGGAAACAACTACAACATAAACTATTGTTTAAAGCTGTAGTAGTTTCCCACTTACTCTTTGTTATGTATGTAGTAACTGACTTTTAAAAATCCCATAAAAAGCAGCATGAAAGAGATAAAGGGAGCATTTCTCATGACCATACTGAGAGATATCAGGTCTGTCTGAAGTTGACCAACAAAAAACAGTAACAACAAAAATAGCAAAAGTGAAAAAGTATCAGCCAGTCTCACCCCAGCAATTGCGTGTGCAAGCAACGTCTTCCCGCAGCCAGGGGGCCCGTGAAGGAGAACGCCTCGAGGGGGCACAATGCCCAGGTGGTGGTACACCTCTGGATGACGCATGTGTATGAGCATCTGGCAGACTTCCTGGCAGGGAAAATGCAGTTACCTTCCTCGGCTCAAAATAGAACAAAGGCGGAATGAAATACTTACTCTTCATAAGAGGCAAAACTGTAGAAAGCACAGGCTTTTTGTGCTTAGGCTTGAATCCTGGTGCCGGTATCTACAATTTAACTTCAGTAATAACATCTCTGAAGGTCTATTTTTCTACGCTGTAAAAATGTCTACCTTACAGGTGTAACACAAAGTAACTCACATGCCAACCGGACAAAATGGACACTAAAGAGCAGCAGGAACTGTGACTATCAGTACCTTTAAGACAAGATCACATACAAAGCACATCATGAAGAGGTGAAAAAGTTCAGGATCACACACTTCTCTTATCTGCAAATACCCTGAAGGGTACAGACCAGGTTGCTCTGTTTGCCTTCCCAAGTTTCCTTGTCTGCACCAGTTCATAAAACAAAGGGGTAGGCTTTGCTGGTGTAACTGATTAGCAATATGCCCACTTGAGGTAAAATTTGGAATGTGAACTAACTTTTAATGTCACATCATTGCCTCCAACATCTTCAAACTTCGCACTGGAGATCTGCAATTCTAGCCCTCTGGTTTTAGCTGGTAAACAAACAAGAGATGAGTAGGTCAGTGATTCAGTATAAATTCACAATTAAAGGACGATTAAATACAGAAATGTTTTCCAGTAAAAGCGCACACAAAAGGTCCCCCAAGCAAACAACTTAGAATAAATGATGCCTCTCTCAGAGCAAACACATTCACTACTACTCGCAAGACCAACATCTCACCTTTCTTTTGGAGGACAGCTTCTATTTCTCCATCTACTTCCTGAAGATCTTCTTTTTTCTGTTTGTTTCCTTTGCCCTTTATCTTGGCTTTCCTTTTTTTATCACTCTCCAGAAGAGAAAAATCTTTCGTATCCTGGAAGAAATTTAAGTAAGCCACACTTAAAACTACAATACCAATATTGTGAAAGTTTTTTAAAGATGGACATTATACAAAACACTCCATTGCTGCTGTAGCACATTCACCCGTTAACTATTCTCAATCTCTTTGCTTAAGGATGCTGTCTGCTGGGGATGTCCTTTCCCATAACCTTAAAGCTCGGTTTAAAGCCTAACATTTGAAAACTTTCCTTCTTCCAGTTGATTTAGTCTCCCCACACTCTCCAACCACTGCATCTGTAGCTGTGTTATAGGTTCCTGGATTCTGCTTTGCATTTGGGTGATTCCTTTTCTCGTTTCTGAACTATAAGCTCCTCCGCTCAGGACACTGGTAAAACCTTTTATTTCTCAGAGATGTCTCACAGTTGGTGTTTCATATAGATGTTTACCTGATGATTCACAAACTTATATATGACGATAGAGCTGCCCTGACAGCCAAAAGTATAAATCAACATGTAAGTCAAATTTTTAACAACCATAATGTTCTTCATAGTAGGTGGTTAAAGCAAAGATACTTGGAAAAGACATACTCAGCTAATAATTTCAAAGAGAAGCAGGCTGGGGATTTAGCTTGATGGTGCCGCCGCCTGCCTCGAAAGCTAAAAAAATTTTTAAAAAATTTCAAAGAGAAGCTGGGCATGGTGGCACATGACTATAATTCCAGCTACTCAGGAGACTGAGATAGGAGGACTGAAGTTTGAGGGCAGCCTGGGTAACTTAGCAAGATTGTGTCTTAAAAATAAAAAGGGTTGGAGATACATAGCTTGATGGGAGAGTGAAGCCCTTGCAATTCAAACCCAAGTACTGCCCCATCACCACCACCACCAAAAAAAAAAAAAAAAAAAAAAAAAATTGAAAAAGGTTTTCCAAATCAAGGGCTTGGTGCCCGAAAACCAACCAGAGCAGCCCTGTCCAAGAGAAATGTAATGCAAGTCATATATCTAATTTTATATATTCTAGTAACCATTCAAAAATGAAAAATAGGGCTGGATGTAGTTTAACTGTAGACTGCTTGCCCAGCATGTACAAGGCCCTCCCTGGGTTCAATACCCATGCAAATCAACAATAAAAATAATAGACAATAAAAATACATAAAACTCATTTAAATTTTTATCCCCCTGATGCTGGGGATTGAACCCAGGGCCTTGCACATACTAAGCAAGCACTCCTCCACTGAGCTACATCCCAGGCAATCACATATTTTATTTAACTCAGTGTATCCAAACATTCTCATTTCAACATATAGTTAATACAAAAATTAATGAGATGTTTTGCAGTAAATTCTCAAAGTCAAATGTGTACTTCAGTAGCACACCTCTCAGTGTGAACACTAAATTCTTATGGGAAGCCCTTGATTTGTTTAGATTTTATAAAATTTATACCTAAAAATGGAGATTCACATACCTAAGTTGTTTCTTCCGTATTTAGAGGTTTTCCAAAAACTCAACTGAGTATGTTTTAAATTTACAATTAAATTACAAGTTCAAGGGCCGGAGATTTAGCTCAGTGGTTCTGCCCCCTGCCTCGAAAGTACAAGGTTCAGAGTTGAATCCCCAGCACCAAAAAAAGAAAGAAAAAAAAAAAAAGCCTAAACAAGTTCGGCTCCTTTGCTGCACAGAACCAGCCACCATGGGCAAGGAGCCCTCCAGTGGGGCCAGGGGATTTCAAAGCCCCTCTCACTTAGCCATGCCTTAATCAGTTAAGGAAAGCACCAAGCATGTTCACTTTGTGATAATTCATAAGCTACACTTTGCCTCAGGTATGGCAAATCTCGATTTTAAAAGGTTTTTAAAAAAAGGTATCTGCCTATTCTATACATTTCCATAATATACATACTAACATAAGACATTATCCTGAACAGATCAAAAAATTACATTGCTGTTTCAGCAGCAATCTTTCCTTCTACCTAAAACCATCAACTCTATTAATAACAAAAGCAATTATTTAAAAATTCTCACTAGTAAATGTCTCAGGAAGCTCATTAGCTAGTAATTCAACAAACTCATTGATTGCCACGAGGTATTTTTAGTCGGGGACACATTAAAACTCAGTCCTTACTCTCCTGGAACAAGTCTAGTATAGGAAGACAAAGAATGAGTTTAAAAAAAAAAAATTACACAAAAGAAAGAATAAGATTAAGTGACCATAAGTGCTTAAAAAAAGGGGGAAACAGGAGTACCTAGCTGAGCATGGTGGCACAAGCCTATAATCTTAACTCTCTGCTAGGATCACAAATTCAAGGCCAGCCTAGGGAGCTTAGCAAGACTTGTATCTCAAAATTAAAAATTCACACTTTTAAGTGAAATAAATTGGGGGCCAGGGATGTAGCTCAGCGGTGCCACACCTGCCGGGGAAGTGCAAGGTACTGAGTTCAATTACCAGTACTGGGGGGGAAAAAAAATCAGACACATGTTTAAATATCGTGTCGTTTCTCATAGCGAGAAACCGGAAGTGTAAATAAGGACCAAAATGGATGATAGCCATTGGAGAGTAGGAAGAAAATGTTCAAAGGCGCAAGAGAACAAGGGCGGGTGTAGAGGGAAGGGAAGGGAAAAGAAAAAAGAATAGGAGGAAAAAAATATAGAAACAAAGCTTTTATAAATGAGGGGAAGGAAGGTTGAAAGGAGGGGAGGGAAACAGTGAAAAAAAGAAGAATCAAAGAATCAAGATAGAGTATGCACAGTACAAACTCCCTATGGTGAACGTGATCATTATGTATATCAAAACTATACCAATAAAATTAATTAAAAAAATAAAATTAAAGGCTATTGAAAAATGTGGGGGGGGGGGAGTGTAGCTCAGCATGAAGGATCTGGGTTTAACCCCAAGTACCACAGAAAAGAGAAGAGAAAGAAACAGAATCTAACACTGTGCTATTTTCTGTCTAATGAAAGGCAAAGACTACATGGGAACAGATGTGAAAAACTGATGGGGTGAGCCACAGGAGTCTGCAGAAAGTGTTCTAGACAGAAAGTCCAAGAACTAACATCCCAAATGAGAGAGTCTGGTGTGTTCCAGAAACGGCAAGAGGCCACTGTGGCTAAAGCAAAGAGGGAGGTAGAAGAAGATGGGAGTAGATGAGATTGAGGCATTGGGTTCCATTCGCAGCACTACAAAAACAGAAAAGGACACAGACTCCAACTGGAAGTCTATTTCAGTTGTTAAGACAGGCTTTGAGGGGCCGGGGATTTAGCTCAGTGGTTTCGCTGCCTGCTGCGCAAGTGCAAGGACCCAAGTTCGATCCCCTGCACCAAATAAAAAAAAAAAGACAGGCTTTGACTAGACTAGCAATGACAGCAGTAGTGCAAAGTGATCAAGTTCCTATGACTTGTAAAATGCAAGGTTCTACTGGACATTACATTTAATAAAGATTGTAAAGTATTCCAACTATGTGGCGCTACAATTCTACTATGAAAATACCTGTACCTTAGATACAGACTTGGAATCACTTTTCTTGTCCAATGGCTCCAAGAAAAAACTGTTTTTCTTTCCATGTGGGATTTTGTCAATAAACCATCCTCCCTCAGACTCTCTGGCAGGAGTCTTGAAAGGAATGGAGTCTGTTTTAGAACTTAGTCGTGGTGCTGAAGCAGTTGTTTCTCTTTGCTGCATCTCAGGAGTATTTGAAACAGAATCAGGATTTCCTTTCCGATATAAAGAGAGTAGTGAAGTGTTCATGTGGTTTGCTGTCTGGCAGAAACACAATTTTAGTATAAATTACTCAACAGGCATTCAAAAAAGGCTCTATTTCCCATTACTACTAACTTTTCTAAATTTTGTTTTCAACAAATTTCTCTTGTGATATTTACAGTCAGAATGTATAGGCATTCACAGTAAGATGATTTGCCAACTAAGCATTTACTAGTTAAAAAGAGGTATTCCTACCAACACTCCAAGTTCATGGAGGGTCAATTCATAATTGGTGACTAAATAAAAAGTATAGTTGCTTTTTAAAAAATACAAGAAAGAGGGGCCAGGGATTCAGCTCAGCGGTGTCGCCACCTGCCTCGCAAGCGCAAGGACCCAGTTCGATCCCCAGTACCCGCCCCCCAAAAAACTATAAGAAAGTATGAAAATGAACTGGCAGTGAGGGTCATTACTATTCCATCAACTCAGAACTAGATCAAATACAACTCAGTCTCATCCCTTTAATACATTAAAAAATGAATTTACCAATAAATGATCAAGTTATAAATAATTCCCATATCTCTTTAGTTAAACCTATTCATCAGTAATGCCAGCTCTTTTGCAGAAAATACTTTTCTCCATTTTTACTATTAATCCCCTTTCTATTTGTTTACCCTTATTTCTATTCTCTTCCCCTTTCCCACATATAACTGACTATAAACACTAGGATGACAAATCATCAACATTATATCTAAGTGTTCAATGTTTCTTACATGCACACTGTTTCTTACTGTCTGTTAATGTTGTTTTCCCTGAGGGGAACATAATGATTTTTTTAAAAAATCAAAGTGGGGCTCATAAATATCTAGCTTACCTGTGGATCTGTGTAATCTTCTGCATTTGAATCATCATCAGAAGAGCTTTCAGTATACCTCAGTAAAAAAGAGGGGAAAATGACTTAAAGGCTTTTATCCTGCATCCTAGAAAATTACTATCTAAAGTAAGTAAATATACTAAGGCAAAATACTATGGTGGTTACAAGTTCAAGCTTTGGAAGCAAAGAAACTGGGATTCAAAAATCCACCTTACCCAGGTGTGGTGGTACACACCTGTAATCCCAGCACTTGGGAAGCTGAGGCAGGAGGATCACCAAGAGCTCTAGGCCAACCTGGGCTACAGTGAGTTCAAGGCCAGCCTAAATTAAACAGTGAGACCATGTCTCAAAAGATAAAAAAAACCCCAAAAATCCCCAAAGTGAAAACTGAACATCTAATAACTACAAACTGATAACATTACATTTTTGATTGGTGTAAAAATGGTAGATTAGCAAGTGCGAAGGGCTTCTCCACAATTTATACTCTACCAAAAAACAAAAATCGACTCCAAGTAGATTAAAGAGTTAAATATGAAGCAACAAAAGAGTATAGGTAATACCATTTTAAATATTGCTGTGAAAGAAACTATTCTAATCATATCAGCATAAACCCTAACAGTAAAGATTAAAAATGCAAAATTTCTCTAATCAAAAGACACTGTAAGTCAAAATAAAAGGCAAAGGGTAAAATGGGACAAGCATTTGCAGTGCATATAAAAAAGAGGTACTACATTAGCATATGTAGTGCAGCAGGCTGTAATCCTAGGCCTCTGGGAGACTGAGATGGATTAGCAACTTAGCCAGATCCTGCCTCAAAATAAAAAAGGGCAATGATGTAGCTCAGTGAGAAGGCCCTGGGTTTAATCCCTAGTACCACAGGGAGTGGGAGAGAAGGGTGCTATTTTATGCAAAGAGCTCTGACACTAATTCAAATATTTGTTAAAAGAGATAAAAAAAAAAAAAAAAACAACTAATTCAACAAAATAAATAAATAAATAAAAATAAAAAATTCTGACCTCATTAGTTATCAACAAATTTCAAATAAGAACCAGGTGTGGTGGTTCATGCCTATGCCCCAGCACTTGGGAGGCTGAGACAAGATAACTGCCGCAAGTTCAAAGCCAGCTTGGGCTACATATTAAGTTCGAGGCAGCCTGAACTACATACTGAGACCCCGTCTCAAAAAACCAAAAAAAAATTAAAATATAAACAATATGACTTCCTATAAACGGGCTGAGCAACCCTTATTTGAAAATCCAAAACATGAAATGTTCAACAAAAATGTGAAACTTCTTGAGCACCAACATGCTGCCAAAAGTAAAATATGTCACACCAGACCTAGGAAATGGCTACAAGGAAAAAACAGGCGTACTAAAAATACTGTATAAAATTATCTTCAGTCTATGTCAACCGGTAATGAATTTATTTGCTTAGAGTTGGGTAACAACCCCCAGGTATTTTACTATGCATATGCAAATCTTCCAAACCCTGAAAAATGTGATATCCAAAACAGTTCTAGTCCCAGCATTTTGGATATGGGACATTCAACTTCTAATAGTTTAAGTAGGATTACAAGAACGCAGAGAAGTGTGCCCTTTATACAAAGTTGCTGAGAGTAGACAGTAGGGCAGCATTTTTGTAAGATACCTCCAAATGTGCCAGCAATCTCAAACACATGAATGTCTCTGTCCCCAGAAACTCCACTTCAGGAATTTGACATGAAAGAGCAATGTGACACATACAAAGACACATATATACATACGCCCTACAGGATCAGTGCAAATAGAAACCACCAAATATCCAAATATGAAGCCAGAGATGAAAATTATGAAAAAGTTTCAGCTATAAAGAGAAGGGAAATAAAATTTATTTAAAGAAATACAATGGAGTACTACTCCACCATAAAGAGTGAGAAGGGGATATGACCATATATATCCTACAGATACTAGCGTAACAAGAGAAGACTGAGAAGAATTATACCAACAAATTCCACATTTTAGACAAAATGGGCAATTTCTTTCCTTTTGTTTTTTTGGGGAGAGACAGAGCCTCACTATGTAGCCCAAACTATCCTTGAACTCACAATACCCTGCCTCACTTCCCAACTGCTTGGATTACAAGCATGTGCTATTGTGCCCAAGGGACAAATTTCTTTAAAAACACAATCCAGCAAAATTGACATTAAGAAAAAAAAGATATTAGGAAGGAGCCATGTATAGCAAATTAAAAGTAATCAAAATCCAGACTGGATACAGGATGATTTTTTTTATAATAAAATGGAGTATTACTCAGCCATAAAGAATGAGCAACTAGCGACATTTATAGCTAAGTGGATGCACATTGAGGCCATACTCTTAAGTGAAATAAATAGAACACACATGTGTAAATACCGAAGTTTCTCTGGTGTGACAAAATGAAAATGTAAATAAGGATCAAAATGTATGAATTGATACTGTGAAACAGGAAAACGTCTAAAGGAGTAGGGGAAAGAAAAGAAGGGAAAAGAAAAAATATGAGAAAAGGAAAAACATGGAAACAAAGTCTTTATAAATAGGGAAGGGTGGAGGAGGTGAAAGGTGAAGGTGAGGAGGAAAGGGGAATGGGGAAAAAATAAGAACCAAGATACATCATGTACAGGTACAAGATCCCAATGATGACTGTAACTGTATTGTATACCTAAAATGTACCAATAAACTTAATGGAAAAATAAAAAATAAAAGTAATCAAAATCCAGGGCCCGGGATTTAGCTCAGTGGTGCTGCTGTCTGCCTCACACACACAAGGTCCAAGTTCGATCCCTGGTACCAAAAAAACAAACAAACAAAAAAACAGGTATGGTGGCATACCTGTAATCCCAGCAACTGGGAGGCTGAGGCAGGAGGATTGCAGTAAGTTCAAGGCCAGCCTGGGCTCCAAAGGAATTCAAGAGTAGCCTAAACTACATAGGAAGACCTTGTCTCAAAAAATAAAATATAAAAAAAATAAATTGGGGGAGTACTTCACTTTCAAATACTCCCTACTTATCCAGAGTAGCTGTCTGTCCTCTGTCTCTCTTCCCCTTTCCCCCATCTTCAAATAAATCATCTTTTTTTTTTTTTTGGTACCCGGGATCAAACTCGGGTCCTTGCGCTTGCGCAGCAGGCAGTGAAACCACTGAACTAAATCCCCGGCTAAATAAATCATCTTAACAAAACTAAAAAATTTTTGCTAAAAAATTTCAGAGAAGTTAAACTATTGTCCACACAAAGATCTGGATGTAAATGGTTTTAGCATATTTGTTTGTCATAGTCAAATAATGGAAACAATCCAACTGTCCCATCAACAGATAAATTTAAAAATTGTGGCATATCCATAATTACCAATAAAATGCAACGAACTATTAAGATATGCAACAACCCTGGTAGATTTCAAATCATGTTAGGGAAAAGATTCTCATTTTAAAAATATACACTGTATGATTCCATTTATACAAAATTTTAGAAAATGCAATCTAACCTATAAAAATAGAAAGCAAGTCAATAGGTATTTGGAAATGGGGATTGAGGAGAACAAGAAATCTGAGGGTCGATAGAAATGTTCAGTGTCTTGTGGTGATGGTTTACTGAGCATATATCAAAAATCAACAATTTGTGTATTTTTAAAGTGTATAGCTTATTCTGCATTAATTACATCTGAATAAAATTATTTAAAAACCCTCAACATTATTCCTTAAAACCAACAGGCACCTTTTAACATATTTGCCATTATATCAAAGCAGAGAAAAAAAAGAAACAACTCCATCAGTAATACAAAAAGTAAAAAATTTCCATGCCAAATGATATGCTAAGAAAAATTTCTCTCTTTTTTTTTGAGAGAGGGCTTCACCCTGTAGTTCAGGGCAGTGTTGAACTATGTAGTGTAAGCTGGCCTCGAACTTGCAGCAGTCCTCCTGCCTCAGCCTCCCAAATGCTGGGATTACAGGCCTGCGCCACAACACTCAGCAAGAAATATTTCTAATAAGCCAGGTAGACACTAAATTGGGTGCCTAAAAAGTTCTAACAAAGCAGTAACATCTCAACTCATGAGCGGGAGGGCTGAGCGGGATGTTTGTTTAAAAAAAGAAAATTGAGGCCAGGGATTTAGCTCAGTGGTTCCGAAAAAAAAAAAAAAGAAAAATGAATACTTTAGTTACAGAAATGCAAACACACAAAGCCACAGTCAAAGAAAGAGTGTAATGTCTTTGGGGATTCCTGAGTATTCGATATGGCTTGAAGAAAGGACGAGAGGGAGTTAGAAGTATTATCCAGGGTTTTGTTCACCATGAAGTGCCACTGAAAAGTTTATGATATGAATATAACATTCTGGGGGAAACCCCTCCATTTTGTATAACTTACTCATCATCCTCTCCGCCTTTTCTCGGTCTTTTTGTCAGATGTTCATCTTCTAATTCTGTTAGATTCTTAAACTCCTTCTCACTACTAATTATGTTAAATACTAAAACAAACAAACAAAAATGCAATGAACTAAAAGACTTTTCTATAACTACTGATAATTCAGCTCTAACACCAAAGGACTCACCTTTTTCTACCTGAATCCTAAAAGCATTCCTTTTTCTTCGACCATAGTCCATACTGAAAAAAAAAAAACAACCCGCAAATTTTAGTATAGTGGTCTCCACCAATATTTTTCCATTAAGTTTTATCTAAATGGATTACATAAAGTTGCATAAATATGTCACTATTCATTGGCCATGAACCTCTTTTTCAGACAACTTGTTTTAAGGTAGGGTGATGCTCTGTAGTTCAGGATGGCGTTGAACTCACTATGTAGCCTAGGCTGGCCTCAAATTGGTGGCAATCCTCCTGCCTCAGCCTCTCGAGTGCTGAGATTACAGGCATGGGCCACCAAGCTCAGCTAGACAACTTCCGAGTTTGTATTTTTACTTTTTCTTGATCTTTTTACTAGTTCTTTTTCTTGGGAGTGTTTTTATTTTGAAATTTCAAGCCTAACTAAAATCCTGAAAGAAATGTAATAAATATTCATATATTGTTAACATATATTCTCAAATTATTAACATTTTGGCACATTTTACCAAGATAATTTTTTGGCAGCCATTTGAAAATTAGATACTTCACCTCAAAAAAAAAAAAAGCATGTTTCTCTATACAAAAACATATTTAAATATCCATAGTACATTTAGCACAAATTTAAGATTGATAAAATCTAATGTATACCCCATATTATAATTTGTCCAATTGTTCACCCAAAATACTGGGTTTTTAAATTTTAACGCAGGGTCTGTGATGGTTCGTGCATTCACTTGGTTGTCTTATCTTTAGTCTCCTTTAATTTATAACAGTCATTTTACCTTTTCTGTGACACTGACATTTTTGAAGGGTTCAGCCAGCTAGGGGATAAAAATATCCCTCAATCTGTATCTATCTTACATTTCCTTGTTATTTAATTCAACTTAAAGGTGCTCCAGGGTAAAAAGTGCCCCCTCAAAGGACAGTGTACTGCACACAGTAGTTGTTGTAAATGTGTGTAACAGCACTGAGTTCCAAGCTTATGGCCTGGAGACCAAGGGCAGGACCCCTTGATATCAAAGTGAAATTTAAACAGCCTTAAAACTTAAATGGTAGGAGTAAGAGGGAGCAAGAATCTGGAAACTACATTCCTTTACCTGTACATTCTTTGCAAATCAGATGCTAAGACTCCAGTGTCCACATATTTGCCACATGCATTACTGGTGAGGTACTAAAACAGAAAATATGACAAAGAAAACATTCAATGTTTCAAACCTGGTGATTTTAATCAAGAGGCAAAAGGCTACCCAGACACACTGCGCTTTAATGCAAGCTGTTCAGTAACGAAGTCCGCCAAGACCACGGATGGGATGGAAGCGGCCGAACGATCATCAGGCGGGGCAGGCACGGGAGAAGCTACCGCCGTTCGTCACCGTGACCGCAGTAACAGTAACTGCAGCCCCTCCACGGTGGTCCCAGCTCCCGAGGCCAGCGGGACACGCAGGGACCCGGCCGGGCAGCAGGAGGGGCTCACGGCGGGCCGGGTGACAGCCGACGTCCGTCAGCACCGCAAGACTTCCAACTTGAGGCAAGGCAGGATCTACGCTAAACTGCCTTTGGCCACATCTGCGGCTCCGGCCGAGCTTCCTTGGGGTTAGGATTACTGGTTTCTCTTCCACGTTTGCATTTTCCAGCAGCTGGCTGACCAGTCATCGCGACCGCTCCCTCAGTCCCTGGGCCCCTCCGGCTTCAGGAACAGATCTACCGGGTACTGAGTGCCGCTGGCCTCTGGCACCGTAAAACAGCACCTGGCAGCTGAAGGCCCGAACCGGAGCGCCGGGCCGGGCGCCCGCCCCCCAGACCCCACGAGGCCGAGGCCCCGGAGCCGCCCACCTGCACCACCCGCTGCTGTAGCCTGCGGTCCTCAGGCCTCGCCAGCCGCGGCCGCATGGGGCCGGGGCCCGCCTCCTCACGCTGCCCAGAAGCCCGCCAGCCGGCGGGCCTCTCCGGCCTACTCGAAGCAGCGCCAAGGAGATCGCGTCGCCTCTGCCGGCAGCCACTCCGCTTCGTCCCGCACCCAAGCCACACAGGAAGCGGCCTCAAGGCAGTCTCCCCGCCTACGGGAAGAAGCCTTCGCACCGCCCCTCACCCACCGGAAGCAGCCTGGGGCGGATGCTCCTCGTCGCCAACCGGAAGTGGCCTGTGGCTGTTCGTGGTGCTCGCCTTTCTAAACCGAAGGCCGGAGAGCCAGGAAGCAAAATGCTGCAAAAGGGGAGGGCCTGAAGCCGTGGGGCGTTTCTCACTGTCTCTGCGGCCCGCGGACTGGCGCTTGTGGCGAGGTCTCTCTGAAAGCGCGTACGGGCCGGCGCGGCGCGGAGGACAGGGGTGGCCGGGGTGGGGACTCGCCGCTCTGCGGGCTTTCCCTGTCTCCTCGGTCTCCAGGCCCGCAAAAGGCGGCGCGCAAAGAACACGGGGAGCGTTAGCTGGAGCGCCAGGCCATTTCTCTGCCTTTAGATCTCATTCCATCTTAGGCTATGGTCAACAGATCATTGTTTTGCCTTTTTGGGGGCTGGGGGTGTTGAGACAACATCCTATTAGTTCAGGCTGGCCTCGAATTCGTGGCGATCCTCCTGCCTCAGCGTCCCAGGTACTGGGTTTACAGGCCTGTGCTCCCATGCCTGGGCTGTCACCAAAGGCTCCCCAAATTTTCTTTAATGGAGGTTTTTGCCCAAAGAGGTTTATCGTATGATTACTGATTCGCAAACAAGTGTACACTTAGCATTCATCCAAAAAAAAAAAAAAAGAATTAAGATATGTACTTATATATCAGCTCTCCATGGGGAATGTAACCGTGCTACAAAAGCACAAAAATTTTAAGTTAAAAATAAACTTGATAGGGCCGGGGATTTAGCTCAGTGGTGCCCCGCCTGCCTCGCAAGCGGAAGGTCCCGAGTTCGATTCCCAGTACCAAAAACAAAAGAAAAAATTTTTTTTGTTAAAAGCTGCAGGTTTTAGTTTGTTTTTAACATTCCATTGTCAGGTCTTAGGTGGCTCAACAGTATTAACTGCCACCTAAGTAGTGTATTGAGGAATGGGGCTGTGAGGCGATGGATGTGGGAGGGGTGCAAGATGTCAACACTTTTCTAACTTTATCTTCTTACCCACGTTGTAACTTCACCGCAAAATGGAACCTCAAAGGTTAGAGTTTTGGTTCGGCCACCTGCCTCACAAACACAAGGTCCCGAGTTCGATCCCCAGTATCCCCCCCTCCCCCCAAAAACATTTCAACATACCGAATGTTGTGAACGAGATCGGACAATAGATGCACCACACTCTGTGCCAGATTGATGCCCATTTCTTATAGGCCGCAACCTAGGGGGGCTAGCGCCCTAGAAAGGTTCCTCGGCCACGGGAAGCAGTTTGATTTCTCCTTTTACATCATGCTTTCAGCTGGGGAGGGCTCAGGGGAGAGCAAGCAGAATCTTACAGAAGCAGAACCATGTCAGGTTAGTGGGCGGGGGGGGGCAAGGAAGTTTCACACACACTAGGTGAGCTACAAAACATCCTGCAACTGCAGCAAGTTTACTGCCAAGCAGGATGGGGGGGTCCTGGGTGCTTTGTTCATGTGCAAGCACTTTCTTCAAGCACGGGTATAAAATGACATTGAAGCACAAGATGGAGTGGGGTTGGCTATCACACCTAACACCTTAAAATTAAAAGTAAATTTTTAAAAAGTGAGGATTTTTTTCTTTTAGAGATAAGCCACTTCAAAGTCCCTCCTGATGAGTGCAGAACCAACACCTCCTCCTCTTCCCTGCCCCCAAATGAGAGTCTGGAATTCTGTTGCCTTTTCACAAGAAAAGAGGAAGAGGAGAGCGGGGCGTGGTGGTGCAGGCTTGTTAATCCCAGCACTTGGGAGGTTGAGGCAGGTGGATCGCTGCCAGCCTGGGATGCATAGTGAGACCCTGCCTCAAAAATCCCCCCCCCCCCAAAAAGGAGGAGCTGAAGATGCCTGGCAGTGGTAAAGCAAGTTGGAGATGTGCATAGTCTCTGCTCCTCCTCCCTCTGTTCCTTACTGTTAAAGACCCTGACCAACCTATACATGGGAGACCTGAGGGAATGGGCCCCTCTATCTCCTGGGAGCCAGCTCTGAACAAATCTTTTTTCCTTTTTACCAAAATGTATAGCCTCCTTTGATTGGTCAGTGGTAAGCAAAGGAACTTGAGCCCATGAAGCTACATGGCCAGTGACAAGGTGACTGTTGAGGTCACTCAGAAGAGTTCAGGTTAGATCTACATTGTCTGCAGTGGCTTTCTGCTGCCTGCTGAGTTAAGGATATATTTCCCACTGCAATACTCCAAGTATTTATCTACCTGGCTCCAACTTCACTTCCTGATTCTTCTGTGTCTTTCCTCCATCATACTGGGGTTTAAGTCCTCTTTTCCCTCAGCTCCTGGAACTGTCCTCCTGTTTTGTGTGATGTTTCACTACTCTGAGCACCTCATGTAAGTGCAATCAAATGTATCTGACTTTTTGTGACTGGCTTAGTTCCCTGAATGTTCTTGGGACTCATCCATGTTGTAGCACGTATCAGAATTCCTTCCTTCTAACCTGAACAAGATTACATGTACGTACATGCCGGATTCACCCATGGATGGACAGGTGGGTTGCTTCCATGTTGTAGTAATTGTGAATAATGCTGCCATGACTATGAATAAACAAATACCTCCCTTTGAGATCTTGCTTTCAATTTTTTGGATATATACGAGAAGAATTGCTGAATCCTTTATGAGTTGTTTTTAAAAATTTGTTTTCAGTCTGAGTTGTGCAGGCTGGCATCAAATTTGCAATCCTCCTGCCTCAACCTCCTGAGTAGCTGGGATTACAGCTGTGTGCCACCATACCTGGCAACAATTAAATTTTACCAGTCAAAGTCTATTCAGATTTTCTGTTTCTTCCAGATTTACTTTTGATAGGCTTTGTGTTTCTGGGACTTTATTTAATCTAGGTTGTCCAATTTGTTGGTGTATAATTGTTCCTAGCACCCTCTTATCATCCATCCTTTTTATCTCTGTAGAGTCAGTAGTAACGTCACCATGTCTGTCTCTTTTTGCTGCTATTGTTGAGATGGGGCCTTGCTATGCAGCCCTTTTTAAAATTTTTTATTTTGAAGGGCCGGGGATTTAGCTCAGCAGTTTTGCCACCTGCTGTGCAAGCGCAAGGACCCGAGTTCGATCTCCAGTACCAAAAAAAAAAAAAAGAAAAATGCACAGCATGACCTTTGGCCAGGGATTTAGTTCAGTGGTTCCGCCTCCTGCCTCACAAGCGCAAGGACCTGAGTTTGATCCCCGGTACCAAAAAAATTTTATTTTGAGACAGCATTTCACTAGGTTGCTAAATTGCCCAGGCTAGGGTTGAACTTGTAAACTTTCTGTCTCAGCCTCCCTGAGTGCTGGGATCACAGGCCTGCACCACCATACCCAAATTTAAAGTTAATTTCTTATGGTTGCACAGAAAAGTACAATTAAGGTTTTTTTTGGTGTGGTACCGGGGATCAAACTCAGGACTTGCACTTTTGAGGCAGGTGCAGCACCACTGAGTTAAATCCCCAGCCACCTACAATTAAGTTTTAAATTTGCAATAATCTAGAGCAGGGGGTGGTGGCACATGTCTGTAATCCCAGCACTCAGGAGGCTGAGGCAAGAGGGTCACTGTGAGTTCAAGGCCAGCCTGAGCTACATAGTGAGACCCTATCTCAAAAAACAAAACAAAATAAATTACAACAATCTAGTTTGAATGAATATTGACTTAGTTTCAATACTGTACTTGTCATTTTTTCAGTGGGGCAAAATATCCGACTTAGGCAACTTAAAAAAGTAGGAGAGATTTCTTTTGACTCATGGTTTCAGAGGGCGCAGTCTATGGTTGGCTGGCTCCAACCTGCCACAGCATGGTGGAAAGGTATGGCGGAGGGAAGCTGCTTAACCCATGGCATCCAGGAAGCAAAGAAAGAGGAAGAAGTAGCTAGTGACAAGAACATACCCTTGCAGGTCACACCCTAGTGACCACCTCTTCCAGCCTGGCCCCACTTCTTAACAGCACAGTCAGCAATAAGCTGATCACTGGATTGATGCACTGTTGAGCATAATGCCCCATGATCCAATCACTTTCCAAAAGCTCCAGCCCTGAACATATGAGACTTCTGGGGGACATTTTAAATCTATCCCATAACAAGTACTGCAGAGTGCTTGGTGTATGGAGAAAACTCCCCACACATCTGGAATGATCTATGTTTTGAGATCACATGAGACACCAAGCTTGTGTTTTTTCCCACAATATATTCAGATACAGTAACACACATATAAATATTCCATTTACTGTTTTTTGTTGTTTTGTTTGAGACAGGGTCTCACTATATAGTTTAGGGTGGCCTCAAACTTGTGACCATCCTGCCTCATCCCCTCAAGTGCTGGGATTACAGACATGGGTCACCATGCACAGCCAGTTATTGGCTTTTTATCATGGCCATTTTCTTCTCCCAAAGTTTGTATTCACCACAATTTTGACACTGCAACCATGCTTTGAGTGTTTAAGTATAGTAAGAGACAAAAGCTATTATAATAGACAAAAGCTATCATAACTAAAAATGGAAATTTAGTAATTACTATTATGATGCCAGCTTTTAAATTTTCTTAGGATAAAACAACAAAGAATGTAGAATAGTCACTGTTTCATGTTCCATTTCAGAAAGAATGTGAGATGAAGCTTCTATGTTTTGGGGGGTTTTTTTCTGGTTTTTTTTTGGTACCGGGGATCGAACTCAGGACCTTGCACTTGTGCAGCAGGCGCTGGAGCCACTGAACTAAATCCCTGGCCCTCTAAGCGTCTATGTTTAATAAAATTTAAACCAATTTTAATAAAATCTCTCCTGATTTGAGTGATTCACTCAGCAATCATTTACTAACCATCTGCTATTGACAGGATACAAAGTACAATGGATACATTGAAAATGAATACAATTTGTTACTTTTATCATAACCTAAGGTAACTGGCTAGGGATGTAAGAAAAGCAGTTAATGAGATTAGTATTCAGATAGCTGTGTGGACCAGATACAATACACAGCGATAGCTCATGTAATAATCTGTAGCTTGTACTGCTAGCTTTAACCTATGAACCCTTTTAATGAATCTAAGAACCTGAGCTGTGTCAGGCAAATCCAGTTGGTTTTGCCTTTACAGTAATTCCCCAGTCTATTCTATTTTCCAAGTGAGCTCCAGGCTGACAAACTTAACCCCTTCCATTTCACCACAAAGCCAGGCAATGTTTTATAAGTAAATCGATCAAAGTACTGTACCGCTTGACACTCTTCAGTGACTTCTCGCACAAGAATAAGTTAACTCCTGCCTGTGCCTGGCTTCTCAGGTCTCTCCTACTCTCTGCTTCAGCCACACTAGGACCCCCGCCCCATCTCTATCTTTATTTCTGATGGGGTTACACCGAGCTTCTGTCACTGTGCCTTTTGAAACACCACCTGCACACCTTCCCGCAGCTCTTCTTCAGATTTCTGCTTCCACGTCAGTTCCTCCGCCTGGCTCTCACTCAGCCTCCAGGGTTCTCCGTCCCCTTCAAAGTACTCACAAGGGCCAGTCACTCGTGGGTTTATTTTCCTCCTTCAAAGTACTCACAAGGGCCAGTCACTCGTGGGTTTATTTTCCTGTCTTTTCCCCACCAGGATGCACGCGGCAAGCCTGCAGAGCCCCCCCCCCCCCATGTTCCCCGAGTGCCCCTCAGGTTGATCCAGGTTCCGCACAAGCACTGGCTGCACGCCTGGGCAGGAGAGCCTGACGACCTTACCTCGCGGGGTCTTACTCCTCTCCAGCCGTCCAGCCTCCTAGGTAGGGTCGACTTCAGTGCCTGCGCCTCCCCCAACCACCAGAGCAGGGTCCCGTTCGTCCTCCTGGTTCATTTTTGTATCTGTGGGGTGCAGCGAATTGTCAGCCTGCAGTGGGGGTGTTGCAGGGAAATCTGTTAATGAGTGAATGGATGGTCAGGGTAATAATGGATGCACCTTTTCAAGATCTTAAAATTCGGAGCGGACCCTGGAACCCTCGGAAAAACAGCGCAGGGAGATCACCGCGGAGCCGGGTGTGCACGGCTGGATCTGCGCTTCGGGAAGAAAATTGCTCACCTCTTCTACTTAACAAGTGCAAGTGGGTTAAAGGAGGTAGTTGCGACAGTGCCTCCCCCGCGTAGCTCAGCTTCGAGTTGCTAGCACAAAATACCAGAAACCGGAAGCGCTGACCAACGTTTAAAGGCACGCCCCTAGTGACCTCACTTCCTACCATCAGCCCCGCCCCTTAAAGAGCCCACTGTGTTCATCGAGTCATTTGTTAAGGTTCAACACGTGAGACTTTGGTCTAAAACCCAAACCATAACGGACGGCGTAACTTTGTGGGTAGCAGGCTTATCAGCATTCAGTAAATTCTCGTCACTAACTGTCCGCCACCATATCTGGAGTCATCAGATAATATGAAAGCCCTGCCAACCTCTTGGAAGCCCTCGAGCCGGCGGACTTCACTTCCCAGCATGCCCGGGAACCGACAGCGGTTCTTAAATAAACTACAACCCCCGGCATGCAGCTGGGCGCGGACGCACGCCGTGCGGGCCGCGGGCTGGTGAGGCGGTAGGGGTTTTGAGGCAGGCAGGCTCTTCGAGGCAGCAGGCCGGCTCTCCTTGGCGGAGGGAGTGGCCATAGCGGCGGAAGATGGAGGCGGTGGTGTTCATCTTCTCTCTGCTGGACTGCTGCGCGCTAATCTTCCTCTCCGTGTACTTCGTATCCTTGCCTGAGGCGGGCCGCGGCTGGCGGGGCCGAGGCGCGCGGGGCGGCACGGGGCCCTGACCCTCGGGGAGCCGCGGCTCGGCGCTCTGGGCCCAGCGCCCTGCAGCCGCCGCCTCCGCACTTCGGCGCGCGACCCGGGGAAGTCATTTCTCTTCTAGTGTACTTGCCATCGAAGGCGAGCACAGGAAGGCATTTCTTCTTTTTCTTTTTGTTACCGGGAATGGGACTCAGGACCTTGCGCTTGCCAGGCAGGCGCCGTGCCACGGAGCTACATCCCCGGCCCTAGTCAGTTCTTGACTTCCGTGTTCAAGCCTGAGTATTTTCTGTAGGTGTCCGTTTGGGAGCCTTCTAATTGTACTTTCCAGACGAGCGACTCTTCTCTCTCTGGAGGGAGCATCTAGCCTTTGTTGTGCTGTGTTGTAAAGCAAAAATGTTGTAACGCACAATTCAGTTTTAACTAATTAACTGTAGGAGAATGCACAGGGAATTCTGCATTCATCCCCTTCCCTTGGGAACGCACCTAGCCCTCTGATCCAGATAAACTTTTGTTTGGCAGAGCGTGCTAGCTTTAGGTTAATTGTACAGAACGTGGTTTTAGTGTGCCTTCATATTTCATTGTGGACAGGTAGACTTTTAATGGAAAGGAACAAAACTTAGAACCAGGAATCCTTGCTCAGTTATTTGTTGTGCACATTACTTCGCCTGTCCAAGCCTCGGCTTCTTAGCTTTAAAATGGGAGATGTCTGTTTTCTAGATCTGTGCGGTGAGAGCGTGTGTTAAGCACCCAGTACAGTGCCTGCCTCATAGCACTAGTAAATTTACTAGTGTCTAGTAAATTCCGGTCTGTGTTCCCACTGTACCTCTTCCGGTGGAGCCGCAGTGTTTGCTTTGAGGGTTTCTCATGAGAAAGCCCTGAATTTTGCTAGGTTTGAAGCTGAAGCTTGCTGAAAAGGCAGCATTACTTGCCTGACTTTTTTCTTGGCTGAGTTCTAATGACCTATGCCCCTCTTGTGGTATAAGGAACTGGAGCTGTATTACACTCCGAGAGATGAAACTGGACTATTTGGAGTTTGGAAAATTAACTTTGATGATTTAAAATAGGCTTGGTTTACACCAATTTTATAGGAAAATGTTAGGTGGACTGTTTAACATTTAGGTATATGCAGAATGTGTTTTATTTTTGTTTTGTAGTGGTGGAGGTGAAACCCAGGCTTTATGGATGTACTGTACCGGTTAACTACACTCAGCGCTGCGCAGGTTGTGTTTTGATGAAATTCAGCACAGCACTGTATTTTAAGGCTGTTGCTTTTATTATTAGGTAAGAGGTCTCGGAGATGGTCAGAGCAGACGGTATAAAACCTGGGAAGGTTTTGAACTTTGGTAGATGCAGCCTACAGAGGGAGGGGCAACAGAAAAGGTGCAGAGACGAGTGTGGTCTTCAGTGGTGAGAGACGATTAGTGGCTAGACCTGGGACACAGGCGATTTCCACGGGTTTAAGATGCTAGATTAGGTTTTGAATGCTTGAAAGCTAAAAGGAGGACTTTCACTTTTATCCTCCAAGCAATAGGGAGCCATTGACAATGTTTGACAAAACAAAGGGGAGGGTTGATCAAAGGATAGAAAGTGTCAGGAGAAATGATTTCAAGACATATTGTTTAACATGGTGACAACTGCTTCATATTTGTGAAAAATACTGAGTATAAACTCTTCTTACCACAAAAAGATAACTGTAGTGCTGGGCATGGTGGCGCATGCCTAGAATCCTAGCACTCAGGAGGCTGAGGTAGGAGGATTGCTGTAAGTTCGAGGCAGCCTGAACTACATAGTGAGATCCTGTTTCAAAAAAGAAAAAAAAAGATAGCTAGTAATGCATGTTAATTAGCTAAGTTTATCATTATACAATGTATATATTCTTTAAAACATGTTGTACATGATAATTTTGTCTAAGAAAGTAATTAAAAATAACAAAATAGTTTCTTAGGAAGATGAACCTGAAGAGTGGATTTGAAACAGGAGAGATTGGAATATAAATCACTAGGGAATAGGTCCATCTGAATTTGAAACAGTGCAGGTGGAAGGAGGAAATAATGTGTAAGGAAGAAATGATCTTTGGACTTAGCAGTGGCTGATTATAGCTTTCCTTATTTTGAGCCTGGGCATGTGATACTTTTGTCATAGAAATAAAACAGTGGAGAAGAGAACAATTTGTGGAAAAATGAGTTATGGAGATATTTAGTATTTAGTTGAGAGTGCTTCTTTTGACTTTTTTGTTGTTTTTCAGTACCGAGGATTGAATCCAGGGCCTTTGCACTGAGATACATCCCTGCCCTGTTACATTTTTAAATTTTGAAACAGGATCTTACTAAGATGCCCAGGCTGGTCTTGAACTTGTGATCCTCCTGCTTCAGCTTCCCAGAGTGCTGGATTCCAGATATGTACTACCATGCTTGTCTTTGACTTGTTTTAATGGACATTTTCAAGTGAACAAAAGTAGACACTAATGTGATAAGTCCCATGTTTCTATCACTCATTGTATCATTCAGTTCAGGACTTTTCCTTATATGTCCATCTGCCCCTCAAATTTTATTTGTTGTTAATGTACCTATACCAACCACCAATGGTGAATATAAACATGATATACTATAAGTGTAATAAAAATACAAATTAAACAAATTTCATGTGTTTGTACTGAAAACATTTGTTTAATTCCAATACACATTTATAGTGGAGAATTTGGAAAACAGAGAACTTTAAGAAAAAAAATCAATAATCCGGGCCGGGGATTTAGCTCGGTGGTTCTGCCGCCTGCCTCGCAAGCACAAGGTCCCGAGTTCGATCCCCAGTACCAAAAAAAAAAAAATCAGTAATCCAACTGTTTTCTTTTTTTGAGACAAGGTATCACTATGTAGTTTAGGCTTACCTGGAACTCATTATGTACATAAGCCCAGACTGATCTTTTTTTGTTGTTTTTTGAGGCAGGGTCACGCTATGAAGTTCAGGCTGACTTTGAACTCACTGTATAGCCCAGGCTGGCCTGGGACTTGTGGCGATTCTCTTACCTCAGCCTCCTGAGTGCTGGGATTACCGGTGTGCACCACCATGGTCTTGAATTTGAGGTGATCTTCCTGCCTCAGCCTCCCTAGTGCTGGGATTGCAGGGGTGTGTCACCACTCCTGGCTGTAATCCAATCTTTGAGATGTAACCACCCATTGTGACCATGATGTATGCATACATTTGTGTCATGTTTATTTGCTTTTTAAGTCTTCAAGGACATTTTATGACTATCACAAACACTTATAGTATTGAGAATTCAGACTTAATGTTTTTTCTCAGTGCTGGTGTTTGAACCCAGGGTCTTACACTGGTTTACCATTGAGCTACATCCCCAGCCTTTTATCTTTTAAAATATTTTTGTTGGTCTTATTTTACATTTCTTACAGTTGTTCCACATTTTAAAAAATTTTTATTAGTACATGTTTGCAGAAAATAATGATTACATTCATTGTGGCTGTCCCACATTTGAGGAACTCAGACTAAATAGTCTGAGATTAGATTTGATCCTAATAAAAGGAATAAATAATTATGTTGTGAAAATCTTTTGAAGCAGTGTAAATGAGAAAATTGAGTTGTCCAATGAGCACACTTTAGGAAAAATTTAACCTTCAAGTCAAATCTAATTCTGCCTTGCAACTGGGATTGCATTCTGAAATTTGAACACTTACATTGTTATAAAAGAAATATAATTCCTTATCTTGATCATCAGATAATTACATTGTCTGATTTAGAATGTGATTACATTAATGCTAGATCATGTTGTTCCAAATTAAACAAGGTAAGATACTTTGCTCATTTCCTGACTTTGAAGCCCATTCTTCATTTTCCATATTAAAGATTACTATAGCTAATCAACATACAGGTTTTGATTTTAGAGTGCATGTTGATTTTAGAGTGCATATTCATTGGAATGTAGATAAAACTGTTTTGCAATATTTTAGATCATGAAATTATGGTAGAAGATGTGATTGAAATTTCATTGTTGTAATCTGCATAGTCCTTGTCTACAAAAGACATCTATTCAAATTAGGTAGAGGTTCACTTTGAGGGCAGTTTTGTTTTCTGTATCCAGACTGCTACCACCATCCCCCACCCCCCTGGAAAATGCTCAGTCTCTTTTAGAATGAAGGCAAACCTTCCTTTGGGGGTAGTGGAGAAATGAAACTTTTTTGGTTTTTTGGTCTTTTGGTCTCAGTAAGTAGTTCAGGCTGGTCTTGAACTCACTGTGTGCACTTGAAGTGATCCTCCTGCGCACTGGGATTACAGATGTGTGCCATGTGTGGTGAATTTAATTAGTTGATTTTGTAAAGGCCATTTTGCCTTTAATGTGTGTGTGTGTGTGTGTGTATTTTTTTTTTTTTTTGGTGGTACTAGGGATCAAACTCAGGACCTTGTGCTTGCCAGGCAGGCGAAGCACCACTGAGCTACATCCCTAGCATTTTGCCTTTAGTGTAGTCAGAACTTTATATGTCAAGAATTGCTGTCTTTCTAGCAGGAAAACCAGTTGTTCCTGGTTCATTTTATGTGATGAGCAGACAAAGCTTTCTGGATGAAAATGCATAAAAAATATGATACCGTGAAGTGCTTTTGGCTTAACCTAAAAATAATTCCCATGTGTCTTTACATCTTCGGTCACCTTACTTTTTCTGGCCCAAGAAGAAAAAGAGTTATATTTTGTTTAGAAAAGCAAACTGTGGAAAGCTAAAATTTCTGGTAACTTATATTCCTCCTCTTTTTTTTTTTTTTTTTTTGGTACCCGGTATTGAACTTGGGACCTTGCGCTTTCGAGGCAGGTGGCAGAACCGTTAAGCTAAATTCTCGGCCCTGAAGACAATTTTTTTATTGAAAGGATTACTCAGTATTTTAGGTGCTTTGTGTGTTTTCATTCATAAAAATAAAATGTACAGAGAAAGGAGTACCTGTGTTCTTCTGCTGGAAAGGTTATTCCTTGGATTTGAAGTCTGAAGTTGTTTTTCAGTGTTAATTTTTATGAAAGTTACATGTGAACATAAAGTCAGTGACACTACAAAGTTTATAGTGAGCAACAGTAGTCCTTTTCTGACCCTTGGAGTCCTAATTGCCTTGAATAATAAGGGCAAGTGATTTCAACACTTGGGCTTATGAGGTTTTTTCCTGGTATTTATATCCCTATTTCTCTTTTATATGTTTGCCCTGCTATTTTTTGATCTGTCAGTTTTAAATATTATCCATTGACCTCTTAGTATGATAGAAAAGATTTCATTTGTTAGGTACCCCCTTAAGAATCCCTCTGCTTTCCCATCTTTCTCTTTTGCTTTTTGGGCTAAATTGATATTCACTGTTTGTCATTGTGATGTACTATAAAAATATAAATATTCTTTATTGTTGAGCCTCAGAATAGACAGTGATAATATTTTTCCTTTTTCCCTGGGTAGCTTTGTCTTTCTCAGTGTCCATAATTGCCACCTTTCTGTCTTTCCTCACTTTCCTATTATTTATAACTAAGTACATCTTTACAGCCCTTCATGTAGTAAAAGGTATTAAAATAACCCCTCAGTTCAATGTTTTCCAGGGGACGTCTCTCTGAGGTCTCATCCTCTTTCTGCTTTCTGCCTTAGTTTTCATTCTGGGACTTGTGTGCTCTATCCCTTCATTCCTGGATTTCTTGACCTTGTACCTCATTTTGTTGGAGTAGCTTCTTGACATTTGAAACATAGGAATTGACTTCTTGAAACGTTTATGTTTTTAAATGTCTTAGCCATACTCTTGAATGATAGTTTATCTGAGCACAGGATTCTAGGTAAGAAAGAATTTTTCTTTTGAATCTTAAGACATGGTTTGGTGGTCTTCTGAGTTTGTGTTGTTTAAATGGGACATCTAATGCCCTTTAAGCCCCCTCCCTTTTTATGGAGGTGAAACCCTAGCCAGGGATGGAACCCTAGTGAGATGTGTCTCACACATGCCAGGTCAGCATTCTGCCACTGAGCTACACCCCTGCCCTGTTATTGTTTTTATGTGATTTCTCTTTTTCCCCTAGCCTTTCTGTGTTCTTGGTGTTTTGGTGTTGCAGTAGGGTGTCTTTAGGTACTTTTTTTTAAAAATAGGGTCTTGCTATGTAGTTCAAGCTGGCCTTGAACTCACTATGTAGCCCAGGCAGGCCTTGAATTTATGGTGATCCTCCTGCCTCAGCCTCCCAAGTGCTGAGATTACAGGTGTGTGCCACCATGCCCAGCATGGGTACTTTTGTTCAGGCCCCTTTTATTCATAATTTTAAACATCTGATAGACTCTTTAGTGTGAGAATTAATTTCTCTTTTTCCTTTGTTTCCTGCTCCCTTTATTCCTTCCTTCCTCCCCCTCCCTTCCTTTTCCTTTTTTTTATATCCTTGGATGCTGGTGTTGACCCCAGGGCTTGTGTGTGCTAAGCGTGTGTGTGTGTGCTCTGCCACCCCGCTGCACCCACAGCTCCTCTTGTATTCTGATTGATGATATCTTCACCTCTGTTTTGTCTCTTGTCTTACAACTTCCTTGTCTAACAACTTCCATTAACTAGGTAGCTTATCTGCCAATTCTTTTTCTTATTTTTTCCCATCTCTTTTGTTTCATGGTTTTCTTTGCTTTATCATCCGATTTCCTAGTAAATACAGCATGTATGTTAAAATTGTAGTTTCTGAGAGATTTTTGTTCTGTTGGCTTATGTCTGGCCTGCTTTGTTCTGAGACTCCTGATCGTGGTGTTTGAAACCCTCTGCTCCCTACGTCGTGTGTTTCTCTGGGCCCTTTCCCTCGTGTCCTCACCTCCACACCTTCTGGTGTCTTTCCTCTTGGAGGCTCTCCTCAGATTTCTGATACTGCCTATCCATTCATGTTTAAGCTCACTGAAAGCTCACTAGATGGTCTATGCTTGCTAACCTACTGGTAGACTTTGTTATAGAGTCATTGGTATGTACCTGGACTTTCGTGGAGTACCTGAAAATGGCAGGTTTTTGGAAGTGTTTTCTCTTGAGTCATTAAATTACTCCAGAGAAGAATCCACCAGGCTCCTCCCTGGGAGATATAAGCCTACTGTCAGGCTGTTGCGGGTTTTTTTGAGACAAAGTGTGTTGCTCAGTAGTCCAGGCTGACCTTGAACTTCCTATGGAGTGTCAATGTTTTCCTACAACCATAATTTGCATTTAAAATTTCTGTGCTAACAAGAGAGGAATACTCTTGGTGAGTTGAACCCTGCAGCCGTAGTTGGGAATGCATGGGAATTCCTGCACTCTACAGTGAGCAGACAGGAGAGCGCATGGGTACCATACCGGGAGGTTGGGATCTGGCTTCCTGGTTCATTATCATTTTAATTTTTGGTACTGGGGATCGAACTCTGGTCCTTGCACTTGCAAGGCAGGTGGCAGAACCACTGAGCTAAATCCCTGGCTTCATTATCATTTTAATCCACTTTCATCTGTTATTGTGAGCGTTTAAAGCACTATTTGTTTTTGTAATTTCCTAAATGTAAAAAATGGTTTTCTTAGGATCCCAGAGAAGGGAAAATATTTTAAGATTGATATTCTAACTTAAAAGGTAACTACATATGGATATGACTTATCTCACATTACAGTAAGACACTTTAGCCTAGATACTGGAATACAAAGTAAATTAATACGCTGAAACCTGCTTAGTGAATAAATCCAACCCTTTGTTTAGGATAAAATGAAATTAAAATTTAAATGCTTTATCTTTATGGGGTAAGCAGTTACAGCAGTACACAAATCTGGGACATCTGAGTCTAAAAATAGTTTTGAAGTGGTAGCTTGTAAGCTCTCTGAGCATTCACTGATTTAGCTTCAAATAACATGTACAGCCAGGTAGATGGAGTGGTGAGATGTAACACTGTGACCTTCCCTTGCAGTGGGTAATTCCAGAAATGATTGGCCATTCCATTGTCACTGTATTGATGCTTGTTTCATTGCACTGGTTCATCTTCCTTCTCAACTTGCCTGTTGTCACGTGGAATATATATCGGTGAGTATTTTTTTTTACTGGTTTGAGTTAGAGCAGTTAAGCATTTCTTAAAAGAAATTTAAAAGAATTTTCTCTCCACAAAAATATGTGTCAGTAATAAAGAACAGCCAAATGCCTTATTAAATGAGGATAAGTTTTTCTTCACTTTGATATATTAGGCAAAAAGCAGTCTGTGTGGCTAAGTCTTGTGGTAAGGCACAAATTTACGTGCATAAATTTATAAAATATGTATTGTTCAGTTGTGATGACTAAAGACTTGTGAGCTGGTTTTTGTTTTTGTTTTTGTTTTTTGTTTTTTGTTTTTTGTCTTGAGTATCATTTTCCTTTCAGAATGGTCAAAAGCAGGCCGGGGATTTAGCTCAGTGGTTCCGTTGCCTGCCTTGCAAGCGCAAGGTCCCGGGTTCAATCCCTGGTACCAGAAAACAAAGAAAAAGAGAATGGTCAAAAGCCTGAGAATAAATATCAGGCTTCTTTGTTTATACCCAACATTTTTGTTTTTTGAGACAGGATCTCACTAGATAGTCCAGGTTCACCTTAAATTCACAAGCCCAGGGTGGCCTTGAACTCATGGTAATCCTCCCCTGAGTGCTGGGATCACAGAAGTATGCCACCATGCCTGGCTCTATACTTGTTTTAAATTAGAGTATACTGTACTTAAAATATTCCACAGAAGCCAGGTGTGATGGCACACGCTTGTAATCCCAGCATTCAGAAGGCCAGAGCAGGGTGATCACCATTAATTCAAGGCCAGCCTGGACTACATAGCGAGACCCTGTCTCAGAAATAACAACAAAGTACTGTACTCCAAAGAAAATTACATTTGAAAGCCTGTAAATTAGGTAACTTGCCATATATTTTGACTTTTTTTTTTGGTACAGGGATCGAACTCGGGTCCTTGCGCTTGCGCAGCAGGCGGAGAAACCACTGAGCTAAATCCCCGGCCCCATATTTTGACTTTATAAATTTAGGACATTTGCTCAAAAACAGTACAATGGAAACACTGTTGTAATTTTATAGTTATCTATTTTCCTGTGAAGAACTGTGGAAAAATCTTGACAAGCCTGGAATTATTTATATGTTTGCAGGTTGCTGCTGTACTGTATTTTTAGGCTTTATTTTAATTGTGTATATCTAAGGGTTTTCTTTTTTTTGGTTAGAACCATTCAATGGCTGACGTGTAAGCACGATGTTATAGAGTGCAGTTATAATAAAAAGGACAGAAATGAGTATAGGAAAGGTTGGAGGAGAATAAGCATACAAAGACAGTGGACGGTGGTGGTGAGGACAGCGTTACCAGGGCCAGATAGCCCCTGAGCAAGGACAGCTTTCCATCCTCGCTGTCTTCCAGGGGCTGGGTCCCCTGGGTAGAGGCTGGTAAGTCTCTTATTGCTCTGCCCAATCAGCTTCGGAGACTGACAGCCCACCGGAGCCCCTCCATGAGGACACAGACTCCTTGCACTCTGCTGAGAGCCAGCCCACAGGGACTTAGCATGCCCATTTCTCTCTGCACTGCTCAGTGAAACAGATTTGAGAGTGAGACTGGGGACTGGAACGGAGGAGGAGACTGTGGATGTCACAGGTGTCCCAGCCCATGCCCTCAGGCATCTTTGTTAGAAATGCCAGCCTAGCAGGCTCCCATGGCTCAGTGTGTGAAGTAGCATCTCAGTGTGATTTCAGTCTCCATTGCCTTGGTGACCAATGATACTGAGTATCTTCTGATGTGTTTATTAGCCATCCTTTTATCTTTTTGCTTTATATATATATATTTAGTAACAAAACTATTGGTACATTTTAGGCATTCATAATGATAACACTCATTATAGGAGATTTGCTTTATTTTTTATTTTTTACTTTTTTGATACCGGGGATTGAACTTGGATCCTTGCACTTGCACAGCAGGCAGCGAAACCACTGAGCTAAATCCCCAGCCCTTGCTTTATATGTTTTTAAACAACCAAGTTGACATGAAAATAAATAATGCTTTGGGAAGATTTCTCCGGAGGCACTGTGTACTATTGTTTGGGTGGAGAAGAACCAGCAAGGAAGGAAACCAGTTCAGAAAAAAGGAGCAGAAATAGAGGAACAATGTTGTGATTGTGGGGAGGGAGACAACTCTGAAAAATAGTGGTGGGAAAAGAATTGGACAAGACTTTAATGGGCTGTATATAATGAGAAAGAAGAATGGTGGAAGATGTTTTAAGGACCACCAAAAAAATGGTGAAACTTTCCTCAGATAACCTAGGAATTAGCAAACAGTAATGCTTTTTGAGACTATTTGGAGATGTTATCTGGATATCCAAGTGAAAATGCCCTCTATTTCGGTATAGATGGGGCAGTAGGATTTGGAGGAAAAATTCCGAGAAGCCTTTGGCTTTCCCAGAAGTGACAGTTGAGAAACAGTGTGGTAAGAGTGAGGAAGCCTGGGTTGTACTAGGAGAACCTTGACAGGAGAGCGGAGGAGGCTGTGAACTGGGGTCCATGCGGGCTGCACAAGGCACACCCGGCGTGTGGTCATGAAGCCCAGACGCTCTGTCTCCCAAGTTCTCTCTGACCCAAATTCCTAATCTCCAGAGAGAAGTTTCTGAGAATTTGATAAACTGCTTGTTTTTTGTCTTTTGTTTTTTTGTTTTTGAGACAGGATCTCACCATGAAGTTCAGGCTGGCCTTGAACTCACTATGTAGCCCAAGCTGGCCTCGAACTCGTGGCGATCCTTCTGTCTCAGCCTTCAACTGCTAGAATCACAGGCATGCACCACCACGCCCGGCTTTTGGAGTTTCCTTTAACTGAATGGAGAGAGTTTGGGATGACGAGTTTGGTAGGTTTCTACGGATGGTGCGTGAAGGTCCCAGTGCACAAGCTGTCTTTCTCTGGAATGCTGCTGTATTTTCCTCACAGTGCAGAAAATTATGCCCAGTTGACAATATTGGAACCTGCAAAGGGAAAGTAACGGTAGCCTGTGTCATTGTATTACTGTGTACATGTGGTATGAATTTAAGGCTGGTGTCATTAAGGCTGCTCACATTTGAAGGTTGATTACCATTGCTGACTTACTTTGCTAATGATGGGATTTTCCTCCTCATGTGTGTACCCATTATTAGGTTCATTATGGTGCCAAGTGGTAACATGGGAGTGTTTGACCCAACAGAAATACACAATCGAGGGCAGCTGAAGTCACACATGAAAGAAGCCATGATCAAACTCGGTTTCCACTTGCTCTGTTTCTTCATGTATCTTTATAGGTGAGTTAAAGTTCAGCTGTCCTCACTCCTATGTCTGCCTCTGATGCGGTGAGGTATCGTTTCACCTCTAGGCTTGAAGCTCACATTGTAGAGCTTTGGGGGATTATGTGAACTTACAGCCGCTGTGCGTTTTTCATGAGTCCCGCGGAGTCAGCGTTTGTCTGACCTACAGTAGAGTCACTCTGCGGTACCTGGTTATTCCTCAGCTGTTGGACTGACCGGCATGTTTAGAACTGTCTTTGCCGTTCTTCCCTGAGCTCTCAGTTGAATTGAAAGCAGTGGGATAAGGGGGGTGATGGGGCCTGTGCTTAGCGCGTGCAAGGCCCTGGGGTTAACCCTTAGCACAAATAAATGAGGGACAAGTGTAAAGAACAGTTCTTTACAACGAAATAAGACCAGGCAGGCTGAGTGGCTGTGCTGCTTTCTAACTACATCTTTCCCTTGTATGTCTTCCCTCGCTTCCTTCTTCCCTCTTATCATTTTCAGTCATGCTGTTACTTCCTTACCTGTTAATGTATGTCATAGTTCCAGTCGGGATGAAGGAGGGTACACTCTCATTGGATGACCTCGTAGCACTTTTAGCTTTTGGTTGCTGTTGTTAAAAGTGATTTTATTACTGAATAACCGTGTTTATTGCAGGGACTTTATGCTGTTCCTCTGTGTGTCTGCTGCTTACCACAGTTGGCACATTAAGCTGCACACAGCAGACATCAAGACTTAGAAATGGAATTAGTTTTTAAAAAATTGCTCATCTTTAGAGAATGGTGGAGTCTGTGCCCTTCATTTTTTGATTAGGTGCTAGCATCGTAGGATCTGGGCTCTCCCACTTGTGTGTAACTTGGGGCAAGTTTCTCTTCTTTCCTTCCTTATTTTATTAGTACACATTGACATTACATGAGGTTACATTTATTTTGGGAAATTGGTATGTGTAAGTATCATATCTTAGTAATTTTTTTTTTAGTGCCAGGGATCGAACTCGGGACCTTGCGCTTGCGAGGCAGGCGGCAGCGAGGCACTGAGCTAAATCCCCGGCCCCCATACCACCCCTTTTTTTTTTTTATCTTACTCTTATTTTGGGTTACCCACAAGAGAAAGCATAAAGTACTTAACTCTGACCGACTTATTTTACTCAGTATTATGGTCTCAAGTGACATACTGTGGTTTCCTTTTTCCTTATGGCTGAATATATTCTTCCATTGTGTATGTACATACACCACATTTTCTTTACCCAGCCATTCAATGATGGGCATCGGGGCTGTTTCCAGAGCTTAGCTTTGTAAATTGCACTGCTATAAATGTGGTTATGCACCTTACCTTGTTATAGTCTGACATCTTTAACTCTTTCAGGAATATACCCTGGGGAGATTAGCTGGGTTAAATGAATTTTTATTTTTAGTTTTTTTTAGTTTAGTTTTTTGAAATAGGGTCTCGCTCTGTAGCCCAGGCTGGCCTCAAATTCATGGCGATCCTCCTGCCTTAGCCTCCCCAGTGCTGGGATTACAGGCATGCGCCACATTTAGTTTTTCAAAGAATCTCCAAACTGCTTTCCATAGTGGTTATAGTACTTCACATTCCCACCAACAGGTAGGAAGGGTTCCTTTTTCCTGTGCCTCGCCAGCATGTGTTTTTTGTTCTTCATGATAGCCATTCTGATTGAAGTAAGATGAAATTTCAGTTGTTTTGATTTGTACTTTCCTACTAGCTACAGATGAGTATTTTTTTTTCATATACTTACTGGCATGCGTACTTCTTTTGAGAAGTGTCTATTCAGTTTATTTGCCCATTTTTTTGATTGGATTATTTTGTTTAGGGGGTTGTTCTTTATATATTCTAGATACTAGACCTCTCAGAATGAGTAGCTGGCAAAAATTTTCTCCCATTTCATAGGTTGTCTCTTTACTGTTTTTTTTGCTGCGTGAAACCTTTTAAATTTGACTTAATCCCATTTGTTGATTCTTGATATTTCCTGTGCTGTTGGAGTTTAGGAAGTCTTTGCCGTACCTATGGTTCAAGTGTTTCCCTTGTGTTAATCTTCCAGTAGTCTCAAAGTTTCTGTTTTCATATCTACCTCTTTGATCCATGTCGATCTAGGGTGAGAGAAATGGGTCTAATTTAAACTTACTTCCTCATGTGGATAACTTGTTTTCTCAGCACCATTTATTAAAGAGGCTGTCTTTCTGCTGCATGTTTTTGGCTTAGAACAAGTTTCTTAACTTTTGTGTGCTTCAGTTTTTCGTCTGAAAATGGGCTATGAATAGGGCTAGGGATGTAGCTCAGTGGTGCCACCACCTGCCTTGCAAGTGCAAGGTCCCGAGTTTGATCCCCGGTACCAAAAAAAAGAAAAAAAGAAAATGGGCTATGAATAATGCCTACCCTGTTGGATTGTAGTGTGTAGTAAGGGAAACAACGCATGAGAAGCACCTCGGGTTATTCTGACCTACAATAAACCCTCAAACGTCTTTTAGAAATGTTAGCTACTACCATAGGTCTGTGCTGTGCACTGAGCACATCTGATGTGATGACTTTTGGGCAGCTAGTCATTTATACCATTAGTAACATACAGGTATTTTAGTCATGCGATCTTAGAGGAGCAAGGGTGATCCCTGCATATGAAAGGAAAACGGCTGTTTCTTTATCATTGTTAAGGACAGTGGTTTTCACAGGGCATTTTTTGGCTGACTGCTATATATCAGACCCGGTGCAGCACCACAGGTGACAAAAGGAGCAGCAGGAGTCCCTACAGTGAATGCCTGGGGCGTGGCTGGCCATTGAGGTCCTGGGTGTACACAGGACGGGAACTCTGAGAGGTCCTGGTCCTGCTCTCATCGCAGAGGCGCTCACAGGCAATGGTAGAGACCAGCACGCAGTGATAGCACGCCAGGAAGATGACAGGCTGTGCATAGCGCACGCAGCTGTGCTGGGCCGAGGCCGGCTTCCCACTGCAGGTGCTGCAGTGCCTGTCGGAAACCTGAGTGGGGTTTGCAGGTTGATGGGGTGGAGCTAGGGCTCCCTGCATAGCAACAGTATGTGCAGAGATCTGGCTAGAGAAGTAGCTTTTTGGCCGGACATAACTTTTAATTGGTTTTAGGTTATACTCCCCAACCTTCACTTGAAGATACTTTTTAGTGAAAATATTAGGGCATTGAGAAATCCTGATATATTCTCTCCTTCAGGTATAATTGCTTGTCTTCTACTCCAGTGAGCATTCCTTGAGGATCCTCAGGAACGCCTCTCTGGACAGATCAGATTCTGTAGGAGGGTTCCTAAGGAAACATGTAACACCAATTTCTTCTTCCCACAGTATGATTTTAGCTTTGATAAATGACTGAAGCTGGAGAAGCCATGGTTGAAGTCAGCCTACACTACAGTGCACATTGGAGGAGCCAGAGACTGCTTAAACCATCCTTAGAACCGTGATCATAGCAGTATATATTTTCGTCTTTGAACAAAAACCTATTTTTGCTGTATTTTTACCATATAAAGTATTTTAAAAATATGAATTGAGTTTTTGTAGATTTCTGGTTCTCAACTTTAGCCCAACATGTGCAGGTGTTATCGTCCATATGCTGAAGGTGGTTATTTGTGTGTAGATGTAGGACTGTATGCAGGCTCGCACGACAAAGCATGAGATACCCTTGAGGGACACTCACTGGATGAGGCACGGGACAGTCAGTACCAAACAGCATTGCTCCTCCAGTCAAGGGGAAGAGAGTCAGTTACCCTTTTTGCCTGTATTGTGGCAACTTTATGTATTAATATGGCTTAAAATTTACGAGACTGTCAGCTGAGAGTCTTGCCACAAGAATGTTAACTGAAAATGACATTTCACAATACATATTTCTTTGCAGTATCTGTGAAATCTTATAAGCCATTGCCCAGGTACAATGTAATTATTATAGAAAGGAAAAATAAATTATAAAACCAAGGTTTTATCAGTGCTTTCGTTTTTTAAAACCTACTGCTTCCACAGTCACCCCAAACCGATATAATACCCCCAGCTCTTGCTGGGTCTTCCTTCTGTATCATAATTGCTCTGGTTTGTTTGATCTCTTTTAATGGGTATGAAGAAGTGATTTGGTAGAGGGTGCTCATTAGAAGCCGAGGTCAGCATTGTCAGTGAAACAGCCCGTTCATGCCCTACTTGGTACCGGGATTAACTGCAGCCCTTCTGTTCAGCACTGGCCACTCTGAATCGGGAGACCCCATACAAGCCACTTCGTGTGCACAGCGGTGTCTCACCAGGTAATGAGCATGGCTGGCCTCCTCTGCTCTTCGCCAGCCTTGGGGTGTACAGTGAGCCTGGCTGTTAATCCTCAGTCCTAGTTGGTGCTTTGATGTTGCTGCCTTCAGCACTGGCATTTAGACAAATCCTGACTGCATTTTATGGTGGAGTCCAGAGGGCGTGATCACTGTGACATGAGAAATGGGGCCTGCCAAGGTGTGTGGCCTCTGCAGTGTTAACTGTTCTGTGTCCTTCCAGCCTTGGATTAAGTCTAGCTTTGGTGGAAGCCAGGGAGCACTAAGCTCAACTCCCCTGCAGCCGACGTTTCAGGGTGGAAGGACTGCCCCGGCAACACAAGAAAGGAGGAACGAGGTAGGAAACGTGCCCATGGCTCTACTGGCCTCTGGGGGGTCACAGATTCTCCTGTGGTGATGTTGTATTTCTGCCAGGCAAAGGGCCAAGAAGCTGGTACAAGATCTCTTTCTTACCTTTTCCCTCTGATGCACCTTCTGTTTAAAAAAGTCCTTTTCCCCAACTTCCAGTGCCTCTTTATGTTCTGCTCAAGCTTGTGAAGCTGTTGAACTTAAATCCTTAGCACCCAAAGAATAACAAGCTACTTAAAATAGCTCAGAGTGGTGAGGAAACATTTTGTCCCTAATAACCAAAACCAGTGCCCATGGAGCCAAGTGCCTCAGGGTTGTGGGTTTACATGTCGGGTCAGGTTACTGAGCAGATCAGAGTCCTTGTAACAGGACCATCGGTGCTTTCCTTCTGAAGCATTAACTCTGGTTAAAAGCAAAAACTTTCTTGTATTGCTTGTACCAAAGTCAGGAAGGGAGTGGGGGGAACCACTCTAGTTTTTTGTTTTTCTTTTTAAGGTCTCTTCTATGAATGATGAAAAAGGGCAGGCAAGCTCCAACTTTAAAATAGCTGTGATTAAGATGCTGCAGGTCAATTTCCTATGCTTTGTACCAGTGGGAGAGTTGTGGAGGACCTCACTGGGTCTGAGGGCCTGGAGCTTGTCAGGGCTCTGAAGTGTGAGCGCCTGGGAGCCCGGTGTTGAGTGCAGGGGTGTTGCCTCCCTCCTCATACTGTCCCAGTGTAAAGGTGGAAGTGGGACCAGCTGGTGCAGACCACCCTGGGTGCTCCCATGTCCCAGTCTCCGTCTGTGACTCAGGTCACTTCCTCTGCCCTTTTCCTGCCGTCCTTCCAGCAATAGCAGACCCTGTTGCTAATACCTGAAGCCTCAGCTGAGCGCAAAGATGCACCTGAGTCCATCAGAGCCCAGCAGGCCCTGCACTGCCTTTTCCTGCCTGCCACACCGATGACCATGGGATGGGAGGCCAGCCAGCTGTCCCTGGCCTGGCCTGGTGTTGGGCGTGCAAGCTAAGAAAGCTTCCTGCAGCCCTTGGCCTCCTGTGATTCATCACTTGTCGTCTGGTGTCACAGTTCCTGTGTACAGTTCATCTGCTAGATTGTGCGCTCCTAGAGGGCAGAGTCCATGCAAACTCATGTTTTTATCTTCTTCCTTTCTCCTGGCATCTACCACTGTCCCTTGCACACAGAAACAATAAATGAGTGTTGAGTAACAAGCAAGTCTGCCTATGGTGTTGCTCTTCCAGCAGGAAGTCCAACTGATGTCTTCTAAGCAGTGGAGCAGTGTAATCCAGCCCAGCGCTGTGACTGTTTTCAGGCAGGCAGCCACACTGTGAAATACTCTTAACATTGGTAAGGTAGGAAGGAGACTGGTCAGCACTGCTCAGGATTTCTATTTTGTCAGTAGTTGTCCAAAGTATCATATACTAGGTGTAACTGCCCAAAAAAACTAGGTAATCTTGTAACATACAGAAATAGGCAGCAGGATTTTATCAGCTGTTACAATGCTGGTATATTTCTAGTTCATTGAAATAATTTGTAGTAACCTTGCTCTGAGGTTTTATGGTCTAATAATGAAGCACTTGCATGAGTATAGTAAGTTATATTTTGTTCAAGTTTAAAAGCCCTACTAAGTGCATGATATACTGCATAGAATGTATACTAGCAGATATCCAGTGAAGCATAAATTAGAATTTGATGCGCAAACGTCCAATTTTTAAGAGTTAAGATTTTAAAAGGCAAAACAAATAAGTTAATGCAAAATTCTTAGTAACAGAGGTAAATGGATAAACCTTAAAAATTCTGAGCTGCAAAATAAATTGTAGAAAATAAGTTTAAGCTAAATATGGAGCATGATCTCTGTACACAGCATACGTGAATAAAAGAAAAGCTAATGGTGTATTGATTTTTAAATGACCTATCAGAAGGTAGGATGTAATCCCCAACACATTATTTCAGTTTTCCCAATATTGAATGTTTTTAAGTTTGTTAATGTTGAAACAATTTCAGAAGGATATTCTTACTGTTAAATGAGATGCACTGATCAATTTTTGTTGCAGCATTTCCATACCCTCACGGTAAATTACTAGTCACTACTTCCATGAATATTGTTTAGAGTGAGACTTGGTTTAGTCCCCTCAAATGCTGTAGCAACCTGGTTCGAGCAACCTGTGGGAAACCTGAGAGAGGGAATGGGGTAGGGGAGGGGAGGAAGCGAAGTCAGACTGATGACAGATCCTAGAACCGTGTAAAAAATGTGTATCTGTATATAAATAATTGATCAAATTTTTTAAAAAGGCAGCAGGGTAGAGAAGGTAAATTTGAAATTCTTTACTTTCTGAATCTCTGCTACCTAAAGTTTTGTACTTTAAGCCAAATAAGACTATTTTGCTCTGTAGTGTAACAGACTGAAATATTTTTGATGTAGTGCAACTGCAGTTAACAAGGCTTCAGTTATAAACGGGTTTGTCAGTGAAGCCTTCTGGACTGAAGCCATACTTTTCATGAATACTCCAAAAGGCAGAAGCCGCTGTTTTGCTAATGACAAGGTCGCTCAAAGCCTTGGGTGAGCACAAAGCTATCTTGACACTACACACCAGGTGCTCTCTAGAAAAAGACCCTTGGGAGAGGCTGCTTTCATCTCCCTTTGCTGCATCAGTCGTGGAGGAACATGGTTTCATCTCCTAGTTCTCATTAAACATTCGAACCTACTTGCATCAAAATGTGTTGGCTAACAAATACTCTCCTCTTTCCTAAAGAGATACACTCCCATAAACATTAGAACTTTGTTAAAACTTGAATCAGTTTAACAAAGTTAAGCTCCCTTTCTTAAAATGTGCCTCCTGTCAGGTATCTGTCAGGTAACAGGGACGAAACCAGCCGTCCTGTCAGCAGAGTGCTCACCCTTGAGCTGGGCCCCAGCCTGGCACTGTGACTGAGGCACAGGCAACCCTGCCGACACTCTCCAGCCCCTCCTCACTCCTGTGCACCTGGGAATACCTGCTCCGTGTCACCTCCCTTTTGCTGCTCTAGGAACCATGTACTTGGGACAGGAGGCTGGCACTTAAGCAAGGAGTTTGAGACAAAATACCCGACACCCAGTTAAAGGAGGAAAGGTTTATTTAGCTCAGTTTGTGGAGTTCACAGTTGGCTGGCTCCAACGCCAGGTGGCATGGCAGAGGGACACTGCAGAGAAGGGAGCAGGCAGTAAGCAACACGCAAGAGGCAATGACCCTTTGAGTCCCTTATCCAGCCCACCCACCCTTAGGAGAATTGCCCTCACACCCAGGTGGGGCACCCTAAATCCTGCCCAGAACTGCCAAACTAATCAGTGGACCAACTTAGTGCCACACACCCTAGATCCAGCCACCTCTGAAAGAGCCCCACCTATGACTGCAGGAGGCTCTGGGGGACATCTGGACACAGCCATAACAATCCTCATTCGCTGAAATTGCTAATCTTGCAGGGAGAGGTAGTTGGACGAGAAACAACTTTCTGTACCCCGATGTCTCATCACCTGATGTGATCTGCAGCAGCTGGTCTCACAGGCCAACCAGATGCCAATGGAGCGAGCGCTGAGCCCACCAGCTGGGCAGAAGGCAGCGTGTCCAGTGCTGTCTGCCATAGAGGAGGTCCACGGGGGTGGGGGGTGGCGGTATGGCTCTGGGAATGGACGAACTTCTAGGAGCACAACAGGCATAAACCACACTAGTTGGCTATTTTCTCCTTATGGGCTGCAATAACCCTTTTATCCACAACCCACTATCTTCCCTGAGCACCCTGACACAAATGCCAAACATCATTACATCTGTCACATTCTGTGTCTCAAAACTTAGTCGTCTGTTCACATTGAGAACCACATAATATACTGTAACCAAATATATTGAATTTGGTTAATGGCTCTGAAATATCTTTTTTTAAGGGTCCTCATCTTTTCTTTCCAACTTCTTAAACAGGTCATCTAACATACTCATTGAATCACTGTAGGACCTGTAATGTTCCCAATTCTGCCTTGTCTTCCCTCAGGCACTTTCAAACTACTCTTAATTTTACTACATACGATGCTATTCAGTGAGCTGCTTATTAGCTGCTTTTACAGATGGGACTAAGCTTTGATGTGCTAAGTAACAACTTACACTGAGTGACAGGATTTATATTCAGGTCTGACAACTCCAAAATACACGATTTTTTATGAGATAGGGTCTACGTAGTTCAGGCTGACCTTGAACTCATGGCAATCCTCCTGCCTAGGCTCTGGAGTGCTGGGATCATAGGTGTGCACACTACAACCAGCAAAGAACCCATGATTTTAACTACCTACCTATGAATTCACAAAATGATTTGCAGATACTCAAATTTGCTATGATGCATCTGTCTACCTACTTTGATTGCCTTAGTTGTATGCAGAAATCTGCATTTCAAGTGTCATCATCTGTGAATTGAGCAGTTAATGAGAATCAGCAAAGTAGGGCCTTAAACTCTTCACCTCCCTGCAACAAGTTTTAAGTCAATTTTTCCAAGTTAAGTGGCCATACATAGACCAAGGGAATACTGATTATATGGTGTCGTGACTAAAAACAAGCAATGAGACACTCAGGTTTGAATCTGAGCTGCTTTTATTTTTTTTGGTACTGTAAATCAAACTCAGGATCTTGCACTTGCCAGGCAGGCACGGCACCACTGAGCTACATCCCTGGCCCCTGAGTCTGAGCTGCTTAATCCTCTTCCCTTCATTAACAAAATGGGAATTAACGAGTACCGGGCCCACACAGCTATCTGGCATGCACAGAAATGTGAGACTCACCCAGTAGCAGACAAATGCGTTCTTACTCTGCTGCTCCCGGAGGGTCTGCATTCACGTGGGCCAGCCCTTCTCACACAGAACTTGCCTGTTTCTAATGCGTGGTCTTGTCTCTGCAGTACACACAATGCTACAGTACGGTAAGTGAACTGGTGCCAGGTGGACACTGTATAATTAGTTGGGGTGTTAAACAAATTCCCGCTCTTTCCTTTGACTCAAGGTCTGAAAATGGCTTTAGGAATCTGAAATCTGGTAAGAGTCCCAAGTTGGGTCATATGCACTTGGAATCAGGACTGAGTCACATGCTTCAGCAGCAATAAACTTTGTTTCCTAAGCCAGAGTTTAACGAAGTGAGCAGGACCCAGGCACGCTGCCATGCACCTCAAGCACTCCTGCTGTGGCCTTGTACCAAGCAGTGCAAGGGAAGACAGGAAGGAAATGAAAGCCAGGGTGCTTTGGCATCTTCATGAACACATAACAGAAACTGACTGAAAGGTCTTTCTACCCAAACTACCCATGGGGCAAGAGCCAGCCTCATGTGCTCACAGGGAAAGGGACATCTACAATGGTTTTCAAGCCATAGCATTAAGAACCAAAAGATACTTTGCTTTCTACCAGAAAGAAATGCATCTGTCTCTTCTCTTAAATGACTTTTAGTTTTTGTTGTTTATCATAAAATCAAAGATCACTGACATTGTTCCAGTATGAGAGTGATTATTCAATCTTTAGGAATTATTTGGAATGCAACTTTCAATTCAATGTTTATTTTGCTCTTTAACTATATAGCAAAGAAAATGGGAGAACATTTTGCATATTCATTCATTTGAATTCTACATAAGGTCTATGGCCATCCATGTTTTAAAATTTTTTCCTGAGGCTATGAAAGAATTTTAAGAAGTCTCATGCCGTGACATGTGAGGGACTCAGGTACAGAGTTGAATCAACTTGAATAGTGAGGAGAGCAGCCAGTAATTCACATCTAAGAGGAATTAAAACCTCACTGAAAATCTGCTGCTTGGCCCTGTTTTCCACCTTAGCTATAACAGCACGCCGATTCACCAGTTTTAACTACCTGATTAGAATACTGTCTTCCTATAGGGTGTGCTAACGGCCACAAAAGCTGACAGACAAGGCTGAAGAACACAAGTAGGGAAGCTTCTGCCAGAGGAGGCTGCAAATGGCAGGACACACGGGCACTTCCATCGCACTGAGGACCAGTCTTCCACTCACCCATCTTAGGGTGGTCCAAGCACCAATTCCCACACGTGAACTTCCTCTTTATGTCCACCCTGAGGTGTAAACACCTTACAGCTCACTTCCATAGTAACTCATCCTAATGAGGAATTGGGGCTTTTGTCATAAATACAAAAAGGAGCATAGGTTTGGACACACTGAATGCTTTCTCCGAGGAAGGCTTTAGAGAACTGCTAACACCTTCAAGGAAATCCTTAGAAAACTAGGTTATTCTACTAATTGTGCCATGGACTTCACTTCAAACTGGAAATACGTATTTCTCTACTCATCAACATATCCAATGGTTAAATGAAATTCAGATGTAGTAATATTTGAACAAAATGAGGCAAGTAATTCCTTTAGAATGCAGTGCCCCTAAGCTTAACTTACCCAGGGCTGACATCCCAGCACCCGGAATCCACTCTCAAGCCTGAGGTAAACAGAGGCCAAGGGCAGCATGCCACATATTTTAGGTAATCATGGTACTACGTACACAGATTCTGTACTCAGATGAATGCATAAGGAGATGTAGTACACCAAGAATCAGTTATTCATTCTGTTTATTGGACTGAAAGAAAAGGAATATGAATGACTGGTTAAGTGCTGGTCACTGACATGGAAAAAGCTTATTTAAAAAAAAAAAAATCTCAGTAAGGCAAATCAAAGTTAATGTAGTTTCAATTGAACAAAAATTGTAGAGACAATGTAATATGCTACATATTTATAAAAGTCAAAAGGGTGTTTTGTAAATAATTAGAACAAGTGAAAATAAATATCAGAGACCTGAAATTTTTATACTTTAATGAAATAATAAAGTGAAGAAATTTAAACTACTAAATATAATCTGAGGCAGTTAAAAAAAAACAACCCAAAATTTAAGAACACAATCCTTTGAAACATTTAATCAGTCCATAGTAAATAGTAATTATATACCAAAAGCTCTAAGTGTTAACTAGTTCCACCACAATGCCATGTAAATCGTGACAATTCAGAAATCTTGAGATCGACAGATACTCTGTTCTCCTCTTGATCTCTACAGCTTGGTTTGTAAGTCCCTACATGCTTCTGTGAGCTGTTCCCTCCCCCAAACACACTTTCAAGGAGCCAATAACACTTTTTCCATCTGCGCCTACAAATGTGATGATTCAGATCTAGCACAATGACCCTGACAATGTTTGAAGTTAAAGACGGGGGCACAATTCAGTCTTATAAAAATATGTCAGTGTTAACCAAACCTTAAACTCAAGGGCACTTCACATTGTGCACAAGACTGAGGAAGATTGACAAGAACCCGGAACAGCTGTTGCAAGGACTTTTTATGAATCAAGTACTCTCTCTCCCACACACACACAACATTCATACACACATTTTTATACCATTAGCTTTGTTAAATCCAGGCTATCTGGATTAGGTAGATAAGGGCTAGGTTTTTAGTTTTTGCTTTTTCAACTATAGGGCAGCTACTATAACAATAGCTTAACAACACTGAAAAATTTTAAGTTCACCCTGTTTTTAGAAAGTGTCTAAGTGTAAATTCAATTTCACCTCCTCTCATAAAGTTAGCAGTTTATATATTAAATCAGATATGGTTTCTAAAATGTAATGTTCTGGAGAGCAACCCAAAATTAGAGTTGCTAAAATCTAAATGAGAAATTAACCCAAAATATGTATACATTTTCGAGATGGGACAAAAAGGATATTAAGACAAATGTCTTCTTTCCTCCCCATTGAAAAGCAGCCTTCTTCTGCTGTGAAAGAAAGAGAGATAGGGACCCTTGGCCTGCAGATGTGCGAGTGACCCACAGGGAGCCAGGCTCGGGCTGGCTTGCAGGAGGCAACGTCCTAGAAAAGAAAATTCCAAGGCGGGGAGGGGTGGACAGAGGGTTTTCTATCAATGGCATGGAACGAATGCCGCTCCAGAGGCAGAATACGCCTAATTAGAACTCACCTGCTACTACTTGTGTTTTCAGACTAATATTGGCAAACTGTGGGGGTTTTTCTCCTTCCAATTAGCGGGGTATCTTAAAGGTAAGGTATCCCCTTTTTTGTTCTCCCACCCGATAAAATGGGTCAATTTACGGGGGCAGTGGTAAATAAAATTTCTTCTGCTCAACTACTTACCTGCATTAATATAACACATTTATGTGGCCAGTAAGAGCAACAGAAATGCAGCTGGCATCAATACTAATAAAGTACAGAAAACGAAACAGAAGCTTTCACCCCTCCCAACTCCCATTCTAACCCTTTACCACCACCCGACAGCCATCTCAGTAATCCCCAAATCTAACATTTGACCATGAGGAACTAATTATTTGGAGGAAAAAGACATTTCATTTCATTCTTGCTCTAGCCCTTAATACATAGTAACAAAAACATTTTTTAAGCACATGGAAATGAGCCTACTAACCTGATTTTTTGGAGCCAAAAATTCTCCACTCTATCTTGATCTACGTGCAAAAAGTATTGGTACTTTTCAATTTTGACATTTGTTACTATCTTGTGGCTGGCTCGATAGTATTCTCACTCTTAAAGCTACCATTGTCTATAGCATTACTGTACATTTTCCGCAAATTTCTATGGGTTAGAAAATCCTGCCATCGGGTTATTACATTATAAAATCCTAGGTTACTTCATTTCTTCCACCTTTCTAGCAGTCACTGCACGGCAAACAAAGGAAACAGATGTTTACAGCAAATTGGCACAGCAAAGCACCCGTGTACAGGAAGCTGCCCGTTAGGGTTAGACAGACCTAGAGCAAACTCACCTAGCTGCTATGGAAACCTTTGCATAGTAGTCACTCCACTTCCACAGGAATTATGTTCTTACAGATGTGCCTCACTTTACTCCACTCTTTTCCAGTGTTCATTACTGTACTTCAGAAGCACTGTGAAACCTCAGGTCTGTGGGGGCTGGGTGCAGAAGAATCCGAGCGCCAAGCTGCCCTGCCCTGGATGGGCACAGATCTTGGCGAGTATTAAGATGTGCCAGAGCACCCTGCAACCACGTGCTACCGGCTGTGGAGCCCGCGCCTGCATCCTTGTGGTTTTTGGAGGACAGGGTAGGGGTATTAACGGCTTCAGGGCACACAGGAATCAATGGTTCTAACTGTACTGAGGTAAAGAGAAGTTGCCACTTAACTGTATAGTTACCAATGAAGACTTTTATTCAAGCTTAAAGTAAAAATTAATTTTAGTCAAGAAAACTTAAGTACCAAATAAACGGTAACATATAGTTAACTTAGAAGTATCAAAAGAGGGATTGATTCTCTAAGTGGTGGTCTCTGCAAAATGGAGTTTAAAGTAATATTTTATATGCCAACTTGGTAAAATAATCTGACCACGATTCGTCATTTTCTCCTACTATGGGCTTTTGCGAGAATGCCCACTATTTTAAGGCCAAATGTGTTTTCCTTCCTTGACTCCCTGACTCCCCTCTTCTCCTTGCTACCAATCCTTCCCTGTCACCCAACCCGGACCCAAGCCTTCCCTCCTCCGTGGGACCTGGAGGAGCAGTCATGTCATACGGCAGACTTGGCCAGGCTTTGAGGGGAACCGAGTACAGAGCCCTTGGGCAGAATTTACTGTGGGGCATCCCCACTCCTCTTCCCAATAAGACAGCTGCAGCCACCCTAGGTGTCTCCTACTGAAGAGCAGGCAGGGTTTCAAGGGAGACTGTACTGCACTCAGCTGTCATGGGGCTTAAAAACACAATGTGCACATCAGGCTTTTGGCTTATTTAAATTTGAAATTCTCAAAATTCAAAAGTTCTTTTCCATGAAGGAGACCAGCGAGGGAGACTACCCACACACAGCACCAGTGGAGAATGAGGCTCAGTATGGCAACATCTAAAAAACTGAGGAATATTCTTCAAATTCACGTATCTCTGTATGTCAAAATATTAAGGGCAATTGTCGGAAAGGACTAGGAGGTTTTTAATCCCACATTAAATATGTTTGTAAGCTCCTGAATTCTTTTAACAATCTCAATTAAGTAAGCTATGAACTTCTGTATCTGATTTCTACTCTTTTGCTAGATCACATCAGAATGACTTTCCAAGGTGAGAACAACTTGAGACGAATTTTTGTGTTTTTTTTTGTGGTACCAGGGATCGAACTCAGGACCTTGTGCTTGCAAGGCAGGTGGTGGAACCACTGAGCTGAATCCCCAGCCCCAGACAAGCTTTTTGAAAACCTAAACTACTGATCTCTCATGTTAGTACATTTAAAATTCTCTTTTTGGAGCATGAATTTCAGCATCAGATACAGAGGTCCCATTGGAGAGGAAACAAAAGGGGGAATCTTCAAAGGGTGACTATGAATTTCCTGTTCTGCCCTTCTAAGCACTGTCTCTGACTGTGGAATTCCAGGAGAGCATCAGATATACTGCACATCTAAGTTGTAGAGGGAACTGTTTTAAAGCTGGTTTAGATTCCAAATGTATACAAATGAAGTCACTTTAATCCTATAAATACTTCTTAATTTATTTTTAAAAAATTGTGCTGTTAACCCTTTTACGGGGCAACAAGCTATGTGAAAAGTACAAAACTTTTTGTCAAATGTAATATTGAGAGTGCTTTTGACATAGTTCACTGGTTTGTCATCTGCATCAGTATATACTGCGCAACGGGCAAGGCTAGAATCCATGAACCAAGCTGCAAAGATCTCAAGCTAAGTAAGGCGGAAAGATTTGGAGAAACAAAAGGAGGAAATTCTTTCCTATCCAATGTATACTCTTCAGACTAATGCACTCTTTCTATCAAGCCTTCTAAACTGTTAAATAAAGTTTTCCAAACAAGCATTTAAACTTCATTACACAGAAGAGCAACAAGAATGGTAGCCTGCCAGACAAAAGGCAGGAGGGAAAAAAATATATATACTGAGTTCCGTGGGTAAGCCTGGATGTAGCACACAGTTCTTCACGACCGATGGGTTATTCAACATGGTGTCCAACAACGCTCTACGACGCGCTTCATCTCAACTGGTTACTATGAAGCAAGGTGATGTTTGGCCCCAGTCGGGCTTCAGAAATGGTTCTTTTTTCATGACGAGCATGTCTGTCCAGCTATCAATCATGTTTGTTTGCACCAAATCCCAAGCCATTAAAATACGACTAATTTTAAGTTAAACAGAAGTCGTAGGCTCCAATTCGCCATCAACTATCCATGCTACTGCATTCCTCTGGTTGCAGAAGAGGTGAGACGCACATGTGGAGGGAGCAAGGAGAGAGGGAGAAAACAAGTTACCAGTTAGAGCTTCGAAATCGGCATCTTGACTACAGAATTTAGTGACAAAAATTTGTCGGTGCTTTCATCATCAAAATAATCAAAAATGTGTTTACCTCACTGTCAGGCTAAACATTACCATGTAATCTCATGATTATTTTGAATACTAGAGAAACAAGTGAGTATTATAATTCAATACTTTGAAATTCACCTTGAAATTGTGTAGAATGAGGAAATCTTTATGACAGTTCACAGCACAGAAGAGGAAGGAAAGATCTGGTGACCCAAGGTAGAACTGTGTGTTTCAACTCCGTATTTCTCATCTCACAGCTGCTCAGCTCAAGTTCTATGTTTGCACCCTCCTCTGTGTGGGGTGCATGAGGACCAGCTTCACTGTGATATAATTCATGTACTGTACAACACACCCACTTAGCCTATGGTTGTTATTTTAGTTAGCATTTTTCATGGTCTTGCTCTGTAGCCCAGGATGGCCTCTAAATCGGGGCGATCCTCCTGCCTCAACCTCCCCAGTGCTGGGATTATAGCCATGTACCACCAAGCCTGGGTGTTGAAGCCTACGGTTTTTAGTACATTCACAGGGTTATACAACCATGAGTACAATCTTAGGACATGTTCTTCACCCTCACCCGACGTTCATCCCGAAGAAACTACCAATCCACGAGACGTCCCTGGATTTGCCTATTTTAGACTATTTCATATAAATGGAATCACAACATTTATGTCTGCTGTCTTTTAATTATTATTATTATTGTTATTATTATTATTTTTTGGTACCAGGGATCGAACTCAGGATCTTGCGCTTGCGAGGCAGGCATGGTGCCACTGAGCTAAATCCCCGGCGCTGCTGTCTTTCAATTATTAGCACATGATTTTCAAGGTTCCTCCAGCACCAGTACTTGATCATGCTCCATTTCAACAAACAGTCCATCCTTCTCCCATTACAAAAGGTGGCAAATTCTCTTGAAATAAAGCTGTCAAGCGAAACATTTACGTGACTTGTGCTTACCTAGCACATGTGAGGCTTTGGGTTCAACCCTCAGTACTACAAACAAAAGAAAATTTTCTATTCCTAACAGGAAAAGTTTTCCAGGTGAGGGGAAAACAACCTGGAAGATAACCCCCAAAAGGCGCTATGTCGTCAAATATCTGCTTTGTTTTTTAGTTTCAGGTGAAAATGAGAATGTCCTCATGGGCACACCCATGCTGGTGCGAAACAATGGAAAGGCGCAGACCTCAGCCCAGAGCCGGCCTGGCTCGCACTGAACGGGGCTGTCACGCTGGTCCAACTCCCTGAGCATGCTGCGCACCGTGGTACATGCCCATAATCCCAGCACTTGGGGAGGCTGAGGCCAGCCCGAACTACATAGTGAGACCCTGTCTCAAACAAGGAAAAAGGAAAAGAAAAGCTCACCAAGCACAAGAGCAGCTCTCACTCCAATGGGGCAGAGTGCACAGGCCTCTTTCAGGGTAAACTTGCACAACACAGCTAAGATCTGCCTACTCGCATCAAATCTGTGTACTTGAATGAGTAACTTCCTAATGACTAATAAACTAGAAAAGCACAGATAATCACAAAGAATGGGCCTCGAAACTCAAACAGGAAAACAAAGAACGTAAACATTTCTGGTCTTTGCTGACATCCCAGGAGTGAAGGAAGAACAAAAACCGACACTCACAGCAGACCTTCCCTAACCAGGAACAGGACAATGACATAATGTCCTCTGCTGAGTCACCTAAGAGCAGTCAGTCACCTTTCTAACTGAAATATTTAGACCCAACACACTGAGGAAAGTTTATGTTTCCAGGTAAATTACTTCCTTCTGAGCAAACTGAACATTTTTTGTTGTTTCTGGAAAAAAAGATGCGTCATTTACATAAAATTTCTCATCACTTCTCCTCTCTAATACTGATACTATGTTCAACTAAGATTTTTTTGTTGTTACTGTTTTGAGACAGGGTCTTGCTCTGTAGCCCACGGTGGCTGTGAACTCAGTGATCCTCCTGCCTTACCCTCCCAAGTGCTGGGATTACAACATGCACCATCATGCCCAGCTTTTTAGGGTTTTTTTAAAGACAGGGTCTCTTGGGCCGAGGATTTAGCTCAGTGGTCCCACCACCTGCCTTGCAAGCGCAAGGTCCCAAGTTCGATCCCTGGTACCAAAAAAAAAAAAAGAAAAGAAAAGAAAAAGACAGGGTCTCTCCACGTATATTCCATGCTGGCCTCAAACGCATGGCAATTCTCCTGATTCAGCCTCCCAAGTGCTGGGATTACAGGCCTGTGCGACCATGCCCAGCTATTGTTCAGTTAAGCTTTTGTCTTTATAACTGTACATTTTGTATTTTGGAGTTTCTTTATGTACAAGTATCTCAAAATCTCCAGATCTAAAGCAGAAATTCTGACAGTCATTAATTATACTTGCTTAGGTTTCTCTGCCTTTAAAAGTGAGGATGAGAATTCTTCCCTGTACAACTCTGAGAAGTTTACACCAGATGGTACAGACAGCAAAGGCCTAGGTATATGGTGAATTCCAGGACTTTTCTTTCCTTGGATTTCTCACCTCCCTTCTGTAGAGGCCAGGAGGGCACACACAAAAAGCAGCTGCATCGCAGAGCACACTGCACCGCCACTGCTTGTGTAAAGTACTGCGTATTCCTGGTGAGCAGGACCGTGTGACACATGGGGAAAGCACTGGGACACTGGAGCGTTACCTTCGACATTCTGGTGGTCTAGAAAGGGGGCTGGCCCCCATATCCTGACAGTGCCATCGTCGGAAGCACTGGCCATCATGAACGGGATCTGTGGGTTCCAGCTCACGCAGTTCACCGTGCGCGTGTGCCCTGTCAGCTCCGCGATTGGCAGTTCACTACGTTTGTGCCAGATGTAAACCTTGTGATCTGAAGACACAGGGATTTGAGGAGAAGTTAATGAGTTGTTTTATGGAATCATCACTCACCACAGAAAAGCAATGTGTCCAAATTCAATGAAGACGATTGCCACATCTACACTGGCTGCTCTCAGTACCAAGTACTGTACCTTCACTGCCATCTCCTGAGGTGGGTACTGTGCTCGTCCTGTATGCTTTTATGGGATGGAGATGCAAGCACTGAAGGGTGAGTGGCATGCTCATAGTTAACAGGTTCAAACCCAGGCAGCCCTACTGAAGAGCTTACTAACAAGTCTAGACAGCAGGCTCTTAACTCATCCATAAGTAAGGTTTATACAAAAGATGATTTATAATCTTGTGAAGTGATAAAAAAACACACACAAAACAACAATATCCCTCCAGACTCGGTGGTATATATTTGTAGTCTCAGCTACTTTGAAAGCTGAGGCAGGAGGACTGCAAGTAGGAGGTGTCTGGGCAACTTAGCCAGAGCCCATCTGAAAATAAAAATAAAATGCTGGGATACAGTCTAGGTAGCTCAGTGGCAGAACACCCTGGGCTCCATCCCTACTGTGAGGGGTGCAGGAAACACACAACACGACCCACTCGAACTGAAGATCCCCTATAGCTTTCCTTGTGATCAGCTAATCCAAAATAAAACAAGACAAAATCTATAAACAATAAAACTAATAATCCTAGGTGAAAGTTTGGGCCCTGCAAGCAAAGCACCCAAGTCCTGATCACCCTTTCAGTCCCCACTGCTGACAAGGTCTGGGCCTGGTCGCCTGCAGGGGCCTGGACATAACCAGCCTTGTGTTAAGAGGATGCTAAGTGTGTGCACAGAGATGAGTGCTGAACAGAGCAGCACCTCGCATCACCTAGAAGAGGGGAAGCATGGGTGACGGTTCTCAGGGTGAACCAGAAGGGGTGTAAGCCGACAATGACGGAAGCTCTCTGAGAGTGTGTGCTGCCAACCGAGGGAATCTCAGAGAATTTGCCCTACCTTCAAAACTCCAGATGTAAGATAAAGAGTGTGCACTGTATCTGATTTCTCTTTCTGTTTTAAAAGGCACAATTTGAAGAACTGAGTGCATCTTTCCTAGAAGGAATTTGTTCATTATTTTTGAAATTTTTCTTACATAAAATGAAATTGGGGGAAAAAAAGAAAAAGAGAAGGCATATTAGTTTCCTCTTGAATTAAAGAAGTCTGCAAAGGAGAAAGATACACGCAATTGAAATATATTACATTTGGAGGAAATTACTTTTGCGAACACACGTGCAGGGAGAATATCTGCTGAAGAGGTAGCAAAAATAGGATCTGAGGTGGTCAAGGTCAGAATGACAGGCATTATGATTTAGTTCTGTTTGTTGTATTAGCCTGAGAAATCCACCATTTATCTGAGAAAAAAAAAGCAGTGTAGTTTTTCTATATATTACCAGCATGACGAAAAAGCCTGAATAGTACGACTTTTCTGTGGAACAGGTTCCCAATTGCTCTTTTCTTGGTACTAGGAGTCGAACTCAAGACCTTGCGCTTGCCAGGCAGGCGCGGTGCCACTGAGCTAAGCCCCAGGTCCCCCAACTGCTCCCTTATACTGGGACGCACGTACTTGGAGATCTGGTGGGTCCCGGAAATGCACTGCTTCAAAAAATGGCAGATGGGTTACTGTGGTCATTTGGGGAGATGATATATTTATGTCGGGAAATCTACCATCTTTACCTCATTTTTAACCTTAAATAGAATACAATACACTTTAATTACAGTATTCATCAGGTAGATCTTAGTTTGGGCTTTAAAAAAGGGTGTGGTCATCACTGGTCATTTGAGAGATGCAGAGGAAAACAACGCTGAGATTCCACCTCACCCCACAAAGAATGGCTGCTATCAAGAAATCAACCAGTAACAAATGCTGGCGGGGTGTGGGGAGAAAGGAACCCTGCTCCACTGGTGGTGGGAGTGCAGACTGGTGCAACCACTGTGGAAGTCAGTATGGAGATACCTCAAAGAACTAGGACTGGAAGTCCCATTTGACCCAGCTATTCCCCTCCTGGGATCTTCCCCAAAGAATTAAAAGAATCATACCACAGTGATATATGTGCACCCATGTTCATAGCAGCACAGTTTGTAATAGCTAAAGCTTGGAAACAGCCCAAATGCCCATCAACTGGAGACTGGATAAAGAAGATGTGGTTTATAAAATGGAGTACTACTCAGCCAAAAAGAACGAGAAACTAGAGACATTTATAGCTAAGTGGATGCATATTGAGGCCATACTCTTAAGTGAAATAAACAGGACACACGTGTAAATACCGAATAGTTTCTCAGGTGTGAAAAACTGAAAGTGTAAATAAGGATTAAAACGTTTAAAATGAATAATTGATAATTTGAAATGGGAAGAAAACTCCAAAGGGGTAGGGGAAGTGGGAGCGGAAGGGGAAAGGCAAGAAGGGAAAGGAAAAATTATGAGAAAAGGAAAAAAATGGAAAAAAAAGTCTCTGTAAATAGGGAGGGTGGAGGGGGTGAAAGGAGGGCAGGGGAAGGGTGAAAAAATAAGAACCAAGATACATCATGTACAGGTACAAGCACCCGGTGATAAATGTAAACGTTACTGTATACCTGAAATGTACCAAGAAAAGAATTTAAGCAAAAAAAAAAAAATAAATAAATAAATAAATAAATAAATAAATAAATAAATAAAAAGGGTTTGGTGCCACTAGTAATAATAATGGTAGCCATTCCTATTTTTAAAGCACCTCTAGGATACATATTTTTAGAACTACAGAGGATTCTGGGGCACAATTAAAAGGGAAAAAAATCCACCAGAAGCAGGACTGAATATAGCACATGGCGAAGAGACTTTAGTAGGAACTAAAATGTAAATAGAAGGCCTAATGTATTCAAAACACTGAAAAAGTAAATTAGAAGCCAGGTGTGGTAGCCCACCCCTGTAATTGCAGAACTCAGGAGGCTAAGGCAATAGGATTTTGAGTTCGAGGCTAGCCTGAGCTACACAGCAAGTTCAAGGATGGCCTGAACTACACAATGAGACCCTGTCTCAAAAAAACAAAACAAAAATAAGTCAAATAGAAATCCACGATGAGTCTGGAAGACCATAATATGATTAGAAAGATCAAAAAAGAATGACTTATAACTGGTTAGTGACAATAAGGAATGCTCAAATCAGGCAGTTAATAGTGTACTGGATAAAAAAAAAAAAAATAGTGTACTGGATAAATAACTCAAAAGTTTTAGTAACACCAATTTGCCTGGAGATATGACTACCTTCAGAAACTGAAAATTACAGAACTTAATCAATCAATGGGAAGTGACTGGTAGGGACAAACTCACCTTCACTTCCACTCGCGATGAAGTCTTCATTATGGCCTCCAAAGCATGAATGAATCGTATAAAACCCTTGTGTAACACCTTGATACTTTCTTACTAAAACTCTGTCTTGCAAGTCCCATAAATGAACTCCCTGTAGGTAAAAGACAATGTAGGTATTATTCTACCCCCAAACAACTTTTAAAAGTAACTTTTGCCTGATGGAACAATTTCATTTTTTATTTATGCAAAACACTAATATTCCAGTAAGTGGTTGATTCTACACAATTAAGGATAGAATACACACAATAAAATTTAGTAAGTAGAATTGTTTCTTTATATACTTAAAATCATAATTAAAATTTGGATTAAGCTAAATTTTTCTGAAAATTTTAATAAACATACCTGAGTTGCTACATTTAACAAAGCTAATCGGCCATTTTTTGAAATGGTAAAAGACATAATAGGATGATCTTCTTGTACTCTGTAACCAGAAAATAACTTGTCAGAAGCAACAAATTAGTAAGAGTCAAGACAGTAACATTACCAGGATGTAAAATGCTCCAGCATAATTAATTACAACTTTGCCAGCAATCATTATTGTACACTATAGTCCATCCGATTAAGAATCTGAGTTAATGACTAAATCCCACCTGATCATCAGCCAACACTCCCAAGCAATCAAAACCAAAACAAAGAAACATAAGCACCCCTGCTCTTCTGAAAAAGCCCTACCGCACATGCCCTAATATAACTGCTGCTGAGTGGAAGCGCAGGGTAGTTACATGTTCCTGTCTGTAAGGTCCTCGAAGTTGTACCCCCGAATCCGCTGGTGCGTGTCCGACGCCAGGACTGTCTTGCCGTCGCTCAGGCACCACAGGCACTGCACACGCACTCCTTCCCAGGAGTCCAGGAGGTTTCCATCCAGGTCCTGAGCGCAAAGAACACTGTGAGCCTCGAGAGCAGGGCCAGACTGACTGACTCTGGCCAGTAGCTTCTAGAAACTGGTTGGTTTGTTTCCGAGACTGAGCTTAAACTACTTGTTTTACAAGTGTTTTCAGCTATGGAATTTGAATATGGGTCAGGGTTTGTGATGATATCTAAAGGCAGTTAGGAAGACCTTCTGTAAATCTATCTCCCTTCAGTAACCCACCATGCATAAATAAAAAATAAGCAAAAAAAATCTCCAAGTCCACATAAAGTGTCCATTTTAATAGAAAACAATTCAAACATCCCTTCAAAATTCACCATAGCCCTTCTCATCCATGGGCTCAGCACCCATGGTTTAACCAACCACAGATGAAGAATAAAGAACAAAGACTATATGTGTCTGGATCATACCTGAACACTACTCCCTAAACAATGTAGCATAATATCTATTTACACAGCATCTATATTATTTTAGGTCCTGCAAATAATCTAGAGATGATTTACAGTATGTCAGAGGGTGCAGAGATTTTATGCAAATACAGTACCATTTTACAGAGGGCTGGAGCTGCACAGATTCTTATACCTGAGGAGGTTCTGGAGCCAATGCTCACAGACACCCAGGGTGACTGTACTGGGACCTGTCCCATAACATTCAGAAGCTGTGAGGAGGAGGATGGTTACTAAGACATAGCTTTTATCTAGGACTTGAAGACTATTCAGACAATCTTCAAAACTCTGAATGTTCAAACCTCTGAGAGGCATTGGAATTCCCATTTCACAGATCATGAGAATTACCAAATTCTGCATCCTGAAGGTTTAAATGCTGTATGAGGAAGCAGAGTCAAGAGGAACGTACACAGCTGTCCTGTGCCTAGACATGGCCTATAACCATGCTGAGCTAATACAATACGAAATTCCACTAGTCCCAAGCCAGCTTAACAAAAGGAGCTGATAACCCATAATGGTTACATAAAAAGTCTTTATAATAAGTGATCTTTAGTTATAGTAAATTATTTATCACCTTGTTTAATTTTAGTCTTAAAAATAAAACTTGAAGAACCTAGTGGAATCATGCCAGGGAAAGATCTGAGATAGAGGATCCAGACAAGAGTAAAGACACTGCATTTGCATCATGATCGATCTGGTCACAGGACTCCCTACATATCTCTTTCTTTTTGGTACCGGGGACTGCACTCACAACCTTGTGCTTGAAGACAGGCACAGTGGCTCTGAGCTAAATCCCCGGCCTGCGTGTCTTTTTTGGGGGGAGGGGGACGGTACTGGGGGCTCTACCACTCAGCCACACTCCCAGTCTTTTGGGTGGCTATGGCCACCACTTTTATTCCTCAATATTTAGAACAATCTACTTATGAAATGCAACATTTTTTGATTTGTCACAAAAATTCAAATGGCTTAAAACCTCAAGAAAATTAATACTAATTCTTTATATTCCTATAAATTAGAAACTTGTTTCACAACAAAAATGTTTAGACCATGTTTTTCTAACCTAAAAGTGTGTATACGAACATATGAAATGGTTAACTAGAAGGATGAGAGAAAAACATTCTAGTGGATGGTGTTTATTTAATAAGATGGCAAAATAGCTGTTCAGATAGTGGTTTTTTTCCCTTCGGTACCAGGGATCAAACTCAGGACCTTGTGCTTGTGAGGCAGGTACAGTGCCACTGAGCTAAATCCCCAGGCCTTTGTTTTGTTTTTTTTTGAGACAGGGTCTTGCTGTGTAGTTTAGGGTGGCCTTGAATTCACTATGTGGCCCAGGCTGGCCTCAAACTCATGGTGATCTTCCCGCCTCAGCCTCCCAAGGGTTGGGACTACAAGCGTGAGCCATCACACCTGGTGCATATAATGTGTTTTACAAAAGATACTAAGTCAATCCATTTTTTTATTTAAAAAAATATACACTAATTTTCTTTTGATTGAGTGGATACTGGGAAGGGGCTTGCACACTCACACACTGATAGAACTGCCCACGCTGACCGCCTGTCACAAAGCGTTTCCCGTCAGGATTCCAAGCCACACTTGTTAAACTGTCCTCATGAGACTGGCTCATTTTCGTCCGTAGTTCTCCCGTCTACAAGGAAACAAAATTATGGATAAGACCTTGAAGATACCCCTCTGGAGGGAATATATAAAGAAAGAAAAACAGTATGTTAAAAAAACAAAAAGCATGGAAAAAGAAAAATAATTGGGTTATCCAGTTAGTTTGGTAACTGTAATCAGAGAAATGAATTGTTTTAACTGGCCTCACCAAAAAGAAAAAAAAAAAAAGGGCCAGGGATTCAGCTCAGTGGCGCAGCACCTGCCTGGCAAGTACAAGGTTCTGAGTTCGATCCCCAGTACCGCCCCCTCCCCAGGCAAAAGAGGACAACATTCAGAAGAGAAATTAAGGACTTGAAGGAAAAGCCAGAGGCTGAACAATGCCTGCCACACATGACCCAAAGAGTAGAGAGGATGAGATAAATGCCAATAAGCTGCTCATCTGGAGCTAATTACATTCATCAAGTAAAACATCTAATTTTTCCCATATCAAGATAATGACAAGCCTAAAGCTATATATCCAATCCTGAGTTCTCTTTCTCAGTCTAAAGTCTTTTATAAATTTTATTCTAAACCTGCAGTTAGTAATTTCTTAAGAACATTGTCAACAGGTAGTAAAATTATGCTCTTCAACTACATCAAGGGCAGTCTACACTAAATTTCACATTCCAAAATGCTCACAATATACTGGGGATGATGCAAAAACAAATTATTATTACTTTTCTAATATGTAACCTTTTTTTTAGTTAAAAGTAAGAAAAGAAAGAGCATGGCCATTCTACATTATTTCCAGATAAGTAAGAATAATTAGCAGTTATAACCCTTAGACATCCTCCTGTTACATTTTCTAAGTTACTCAATTTAGAAGGTAGGCACATACCATTTAACTAGTCTTGGTTCCATTTTGTTCAGTGATTAGATACAGGATCTGAGAGATAATAGCTGCCCTTGGTATAATAAAAAGTACATGGGCATAATTTTCCTGTGAGAAATGGGTAATCAAAATTAAAAATAAAAGAGTGAAAACAAAGGGCATGATTAGGCACTAGGGCAAAGCAATAAAGGTGCAGAGGTAACAAAGCAGAAAATCAGATGTCCCCTTTTTACTAAAAAAAAGTTCAATCTAAATATTTCCACAAACTCTGAGCCATTCACCTATTTACCTTTTGGTCACTTGACACATAAGAGAGTTAAAATAAAGGTTTAGAAGCACAAATATGCAAGCAACAGCTAAATAAATCCTTGGCATGTCCTACTCACACATGTTCTGAAGGCAGAAATGGTTGTTTATTATGTTCAGAGTAGGAAATGCACAGTAAGACTATTAGATTAATGGAAACTATCTAAAACCACAAGGAATAATTTGAAAACTGACTTTTAAAATACTACTTAAGAACAAATCTAAATAAATAAAGTAGTGCACTGTAAAAGTTACTCTACAACATAGTTTAATTGTCCAGAAATTCAAGATCAACTGAAAGACTACAGAGGTGTGACAAATTATTTCTTTTATAGACTACGTATTTTTCCTGTGGAAGAGAAAAAAAATTTCGTCTTTTAGGGTCATAATCACTTCAAGCTGTTTTACTGAGAAAAAGCCATTTATTCTATTCTGTATTTTGCTACCCCTCTGACCCAATCACAAATAAAACACTAAATGTGAGCCTGATAAAAATGGCATAAAAGACATTTTGGGAATAACTGGAAATTATGATTATGAAATGAAGGGCTGGGGATTTAGCTCAGTGGCACCTTGCCCACCTTCGCAAGTGCAAGGTCCCGAGTTCAATCCCCGGTACCAAAAAAAGTTAGTTGAAATGAATATTAGAGAATTATAATGTTCCTAGATATACTGTTCAGTTATGTAGGATAATGTCTTTTCTTGTTTTGGGTACCAGGGATGGAACTCAGGACCTTTCGCTTTTGAAGCAGGTGGTGGCAACACTGAGCTAAATCCTCAGGTGGATACTGTCTTTTTTTTTTTTTTTTTGGTACCGGAGATCGAACTCGGGACCTTGTGCTTGGCAAGGCAGGCAGCGGAACCACTGAGGTAAATCCCCGGCCCTGGATAATGTCTTTTTAAAAGAAGGTACGTGATTAGTGATTAGAGTATTTAGAGGTAAAATACATCTAATTTACTTTCAGATGTTCTAGACATGGGTGTACATAAATATGTAAGTACATATGCATGTTTGTATGTTTCTATGCACATATAGATACATAGGAAATATCATAAAATATTAGTAACTTTCAAACCTATGGTAGGCATACTCTTTCAACTTTTCTTGATTTATAAAAACTCTCATTAGAAAGCTGGGCTTGAGGGCCAGGATATAGCTCAGTGGTACCACGCCTGCTTGGCAAGCACAAGGTCCTAAGTTCAATTCCCAGTACCGGGGGGAAAAAAAAGCAAGCAAGCTGGGGTTAAAGCGAGCAGCTGACCGAGCAGCACGGAAATCTCATTATTGTAGCTGCCGAATTAGAATTCCGTCATCTTACTGTTTCTATACCACCTCTGAGTCATTTCTGTGAAGTTTTCTGAGCATGGGGAGTCACCTTCACACTGAGCTGCATCCCCAGCGCCTTTTCTTTTTTTCCTAATTCTGAGACAGGGTCTTGATAAGATGTCCAGACGGAGCTCGAACTCTGGGCCCCTGCCTCGCCTTCCCAGAGCACTGGGATGACAGGTGTGTGCCACCACACCTGGCCTGACTTTCATTTCACAAGTCCCCAGATTCAAAACCCTACCTCATCAAGCTATACATTTAGGGTCAAACCACAGCCTAAGCATTCCTTTGGCAAGGAGTTAAAAAAGCAAAAAACATCACCTAACAAATCATCTTTAAAAGTTTAATTTTTTAAAAAATTGTTAACTGCAGGGATTCTAAAATGTAAATAATTGAGTAGGCCCCATGTTGAGTTCTTCTAAAATGGGACCCCAGCTAGAAGTTCAAGTTTTCATTTAGAAACAGTAACAGAGCCCTTAATAAAAATAAGTACTGCGGGGCCGGGGATTTAGCTCAGTGGTTCCGCCACCTGCTTTGCAAGCACAAGAACCCGAGTTCGATCCCCGGTACCAATAAATAAATAAATAAATAAGTACTGAAAGCACCATTTTGCCTCACTAAAGTAGCTCAGAATATCAAATGCAGGTAAGAAGATGGCGCAACTGCCATTTGATTGGAAATTCTGATACAACTATGAAACTGTGAAGCCACCACAAAATCTTCTGAGGCACACAGCAAACAGTGCAGATTTCACAGAACAAAACAAAGCACCCTGAAAAACTTACTCATCACTCATAAATCTGGACCCTTGGGTTCCACTTGAAGAACTTCCTTTTACAAAAAAATACAATACAGCAACTCAGGCTAAGTGGGTCTGCTGTATTCACCAGGAATAAAGTTAGAGTAAGTTCATTATGACTCTGCCTACTGAAAAGCTACATCAACCAAGGGTGGATGGAATTCGCTCACTTGTACATTCCAAAGCCAAAGCTCCGAGCAGTCATCTGGGCCACAAGCAACGAGATAGTTGTCGTCTGGACTCCATGCAATGTAAGAAACACCATACGCATGTCCTTCTAATGTTTTAAGCAGTTTTAGCAGGTGTGTATCCTAGAAGGGAAAACAGACAACTCAGTTAGCGCCTATCCCAAAAATCATTGTTTTCTGGCACAAGAATGTAAAGAGCTAAAAAGATGTGCTTTGATTATACAAGATAATCCAAAGAGGTTTTCAGACCAATTTTCCCTGACTAAATCTCAGTTTGCTTCATGAAGATTCACTCACATTTTCTTATCAAGTATCTACGATATTGAGGCCACTGTGTGCTAGATGGAAATATAAAGATGACCCAGAACTTGCCCAGAGACTTTCAAGAGAACAGAAAACAGAAAGGTGTAACAAGAACTACCTCTTATTTTTTAACAGCTTCATTGAAATATAACAACATAAAATTCAGCCTTCTAGAGTGTACAACTTGGTGGTTTTAGTACATTCATAGTTGTCTTACCACCACCACTACCTGATTGTCTAACTTTTAAAATCATTCTTCCCTCCAAAAGTCCCAGTAGCAGTCACTCACTTGAAGCTCCTGGCAGCCAGTACTTTGTTCCTACGGACATGCCCATTCTGGATGTGTCATACAAACTTAACCACGGGGTCCGTGTGTATCTTTATAGTCTCTTCTAACTTGCTTCTTTCATGAGCATTAAGGTTTTCAGAGTTCATCCTTATAGAATACTATTTTACAGATACACTTTATTCTGTTTACCCATTTAGCAGTTAATGAACATTTGATCTCTACTTTTTGACTACTCTAAACCATGTGGCTATGATTTTGTATTTCTGTGTGGAGATGCTGTTTCATTTCTCTTGGGTAAATAAAGAGGAGTAGAATTCCTGGGTCATATGCTAATTCTATGTTCAGCATTCAATTCTCTTTTTTGAGACAGTCTTACACTAGTCTTGAACTCATGGCAATCCTCCTGCCTCAGCCTCCCACATGGTGGGATCAGAGGTACCTGGCACCACATTCAGCTGTGTCCAACATGTTAAAGAACCGCCAAACTACTTCCCAAGGGGCCCCATCATATCCCATTGCCACCTGCAAAGCTGCCACTTAGTGAAATACCATACACTCACACAGTATTTCATTTAATCCTCACAAGTACAGGAGATGAGTGTTGTCCCCTCATGTTACAGAGAGGGAAACTAAGGCTTAGAAAGGTTAGAAATCTGCCTCTGCTTATGGCACAGCGAGGATGTGAATCACAGCTGCCTGACTCAAGGCCCGTACTGCTAATCTCTGCAGGTTGAGCCATATCCTTTGACTGTGAAAGGCGAGTGTCAGGCCTGGAGAAGCTGATGTGCTTATCTAAGGCGAAGGGGCTCAATTTATCCAGGAGGTAAAAAGCCACTTAAGAAACATCAGGCTAGGAATATATAGTCTGGTATCCGGCTTTAAGGAGAGGACTAAGACAGCAATGTGGAAGTAATCAGAAGAGAGACCAGATCAAGAAACTTGTAAGGAGCCAACAGTCAGCACTCCTAACACTGAGGCTTCCACTAGGATGGTCAGGATGCGAAAATGTCAAATGAAGAGACACTTCCGAGATAAACACAACAGCAGGGCAGTGGCAGAGTGTTTGCATAACATGTGTGAGGGCCCAGCTTCAATCCCAGCAGGGCAAAAACAACACAACACCAAAACAAAAAGTGTTCAAAGACAAGCTGCTCATTTCTGGTGCGGGGGATATGGATGCCAGAGGAAGTAAGAAACCATGAGACACACTGAGAAGTCACAGACTTTAGCGTGCGCACTTGCTGAGCCTAGGCTTAAGCCTGGGTACCTAATGAAGTCAGCCTGGGTTCCCATCCCCAGCAATGTCCCTGAGAAGTGGGCTGTTTACCATGTTCTCTCTAAGCTTACCTACCAATCCATTTAATTCTTCAGTCCAAATCTCCACTGTTTTGGTAAAATTGGCAAGGCAACAATTTCTCATTCTTCTTTGGGGGGTGGTAACAGGTATGAGGTATTTACTTTAGATCAGTGGTACTCGGTCAATGTTATGTGCATAATTTACTAAACAAGTCAAGTTTTCTAACCAGCTTAACATCTCCCAGGAACAAACCCTCAGTGTCACAGTGACGGTCTAGGTCCTGGCACATGGTCACGCTGACAGTGCGTTATCACTGAACGTTCTAGAATCACCACCACTAGTCTAGGAGATCTGCTTTCAAATTGATGACAAACTCCTTTACATTTAACTCAAAAACTAAGTGTTTCATGCACCTTAACAACAAAATACAATCCGGTCAAAACTGGAAATAAAGGCCAGGGATTTAGCTCAGTGGTTCCGCTGCCTGCCTCACAAGTGCAAGGTCCCAAGCTCAACCCCTGGCACCAAAAAAACAAAAACCTGGAAATACAGATTTTAACACCATAGTACCTCTTCACATGTACAGTGCCTCCATACTAACATACTCAAAGGGAGTTCACATGACTGCTCAGATTTTGGGGGGAGTGGGTAAAATTCACTTTTTGGACAAAGGGAAAAACGGCTAAAGGAAATTGGGCATTAGAATAACAGCTTTAACCTTGTTTCTTTTTTCTAACTAGTAAAAAATACAGACCAAACACAAAATGCATATTGAAAAGGGCACAAATTTCCCAACAGCATTCCACGTAGCAAAGTACCACACAGCAGAAGTTACTCAGCGCTGTGCCGCTATCTGAACACTGGGGTCTAAAATCAGACTGGAATATAAGCATCAACTCTGCCTCTCCCAAGACATTTAACACCTGATACATTTACATTACTATTATCCTGGGAAACACCGACCTGAGGCCTAAACTCCGGCAAAGCTCTCCCTGCTTCTAACTGCTACTTCATTAACCTTCTCTCTGTCTACCAAAGACTCTTCCCACAAACTACCAAAATGCCAAGCTATTTTTAAAATCTCAGGACCACTCCTAGCTGGTTCCACCTGAGTGTGTCGTCTTCTTCACCTAGGACCTGCCTTTCTTACTGCCCTTGGCTTTCGGGTTCCGTAACACCTCCTCCGTGAGCTCCTGGCGCTCCTATCCCACGATGACGGCACTGCACCACCTGCTTGGGTGGCCCGTGGCAAAGGCCCTGGAACGCAGCACACACTGCACACTGGCTCCGAAGGGGGCTCTTACAGCTACAAGGAAAAACTTGAAGCTACTTCTGACACTGTCACGCTCTGCCTCAGAGACCTCGCATAAAGGGATGAAAATAGAACCCCTTTAAAACTCAAAGCCCATGACTTGATCCATTAGCCTTCTTTCCCACTCTTCATCATTGCCAATCCAAGCCTTGCTGTGGGGGATGGGAAGGCAGAAGAGGCCCCCTCTCTCCCTAGAATGCCCTTTCCCTGCAGTGAGGCACTCTCCCCTGCGAGGCTCCTTGTGCTTCCAAACACGTGGTGTGTGTCTGTGTGTGCATATGCACACACAGAGATGCCAATGCTCACTTTACTACACTTCATTTCCCTTTCCAAACTGTGCAATCCTTTCACAGGGTTCTTAACCTGTAATTCACAAGATGGGGTCTAGGGACAGAATCAGGAGTCCTTGGACTTAAATGGAAAAAAGTTACATCTTTAGTTTCCTTAACCACAGTCTAAAGTTTGGTACTTCTTTCAATCTTAAATACAGGCAATTAAAGTAGTACTAGAGGGTACTATTGTACTACATTAGGCTGGAACACAGTACCTTGTATAGTCAATTTAGAATCATGTAACTTTTAATAGATATCTCAAATATTTTCCTAACCCACTAGAGCTGTTACTAGTATCTTGAATTACATATATGCTCACTACTAAGTAAAAACTGTGATTCTACATCTGCTGCTAGAATTGATAATTTAATGTGTTAATACAGCAATATTATGACATCTTTTTGTACTATGTTGATAATTATCTGAAGATAACTGGGTTTCCAATGTAATTAACATCTAATATATCTGGGCTTGCTGTTTTAGTTTATGCATGTAAAATATTATTCTGAGAGCGTTGGTAGGTTTGCCAAACTGCCAAAAGAGCATATGGCACAGGAGCCAAGGATTTAGCTCAGTGGTTCTGCCGCCTGCCTTGCAAGCGCAAGGACCTGAGAGTTTGATCCCGGGTACCAAAAAAAAAAAAAGAGTATAAGAGTATATGGCACAAAAAAGTACACAAGTCTTGCTGACCAGTGAAGAATAGATCTTGTTTCCTTTCATCCTCCACAGCACACAGGTATGCAGGAACTGATGTATGCTATCAAACTGGATTCTCTTCTTTTTAAAAACATTTCCACTTATGGTTCCTTTTCTCTATTCTTTTCAACATAGCAGCCCAAAATGTTATCCTAGACTAATATGATATTCTAATTCTGAACTTTAAACAAGTTTATTTACTTCATGGTCTTAGGTGAATGACTTCTAAACCAAGTGTAACTTCTTAATGTATTTCGAGTCATGTGCTTCTCTGATTACCCCATAAATGAACTGGTTGAAAAAATAAAGTTATTTCTACATATCTGTAGGTACTGGCTATAAATAAAGATAAATGTGATTCTAAAAGATTTAGAATTTTAAATCCAGAATGCAATAATTTTCACATATATTACTAGGGAAAGAGGGGAAGCGTCTACACCAGAAGACTCAAGCTATGCAGGGCAACAGAGGGCTTCAGAAAGTACAGTGTAATGACCTCTTCTAACTTGGGACAAAGCCTATAAATTAAGTATTAACAAAAATACAAATTGCCAGAGATGTTAATCACAGTAGTTTTGTAGTCAAAATATTCCTTATGTCAAACTCTGCCATTTACCAGCTGTGAGAGGCTAGACATGTAACTTCTACCTGTTTTCTTGTCTAAAGACAGGACATAATAGTTACTAGGAGGATTAAGAATGCACACACAGACTTGGCATGATCACTGAGTCACTGGTATGTAACACACAACAATTTTGAAATCAATCTACATATATCATCTAAATAATAAGCTGGGCGTGGTGGCACACACCTGTAATCCCAGCACTCGGGAGGCTGAGGCAGGAGGATCACCGAGAGTTCAGGGCCAGCCTGAACTACAAAGCAAGACCCTGCCTCAAAAAAACCAAAATATAAAAATAAAAATAAAATAAATAAAAAATACCATCTAAATAACATAGGTAGAAGGAACAAACATGACCAAAACCGCATTTGCCAAGAATTCACGTACACTATAAACTCAAGACGACCAGTGAGAGAGGTTTGCAGTCCACTCCCCTTTGCAATCGAAACCCGCATACTGGAGTACATACCGGATCAACTTGCCATATGATAACTGTTGTGTCTTTTGAACCTGTTGCTAGTTTAGTGCCATCGTTAGAAAATTTACAGAACCACACTTCATTACAATGCTCCGTGAGTATCTGCTGAGTGTAACAGGGGAACTGCCTCCTAAAACAAAGAAACCCACACATAATTATTCTTCCAAAATGGATTAGCCTAACAATGAAAAAGGTTTAACAACTGATAAAATTTCTGAGGTTATGCTATCATAAACTTTCAAAATAGAATATGAATGCATTTATGAATGCTAACAATCAAGTTTATATTGGTATGCTGAAAAATAAAATACTGTAACATGAGATACTTTTTTAGTCAAGACAACCTTAGTGGAAGTCAGTAAATCTAAAATCTGCTTCAAGTTAAAATTTACTTTTCTTTTCCACCTTCTGAAGATTACTTGGTCTGATAAAGTCAATTCATACAAATAAAAATCAGGGATCACATTTATCTCTGTAAGCTGATGGCACTAGCTGGTTGTTAGGAATAATGTAGCATTTTCAATTACATAAAATCCAGTTAAGCTCTTATTAGAAAAGCAACTTGGTGTAACACAAAGAACAGCCATTGCTCCCTGACAAAGAGCTTGGGTCCTTTCTCAGTTGTAAGCATTAATGTCTCTGGCAAACCATTTAACTACTGCCTTTGAACTCCACTTCCCTCATCTGTAAAAGGAGACTAATAACCACCCACCAAGAGTTCTGGATTCTTAAGAGAATTAGAAAAGCATTTAAAATCTCTGAACTCAACAGATCCTTAAATGTTACTGGTACTTCTTTCTGGAAGTGCACAGGAGAAATGCATATGCGACTGGGGTAACTGCTATTAAGCAGAGTCTGACAAACTTAGGTTCAAATCGTAGCTCAGCCACTTAGCACCTTGTGATTCTGGGATATTTATTTAATCTCTCCATTTTTCCAACTATGAACTAAAGATAATGGTATTTGTCCTACAGAATTCCTTATACAGGATGAAGAGGATGCAGTAATGGCAAAGCATGTAGATTGAGTCTGATATAGTACTTCATAAATGGAAGCTATTTATATACAAAGGGCAAAGAAATCTATGATTTATAATTAAGCCTAGTGTATAAGTGAGGCTATTGCATAAATGAGCATTCTTATTAAGTACTCACTTTTTTATTTGTGGTGGGGTTTTTTTGGTACCAGAGATCAAACTCAGGACCTTTCGCTTGCAAGGCAGGTGCCGGAACCACTGAGCTAAATCCCTGGCCCTAAGTACTCACTTTTAAAAATCATTCTACCCCTCTCCAGTGTCTCCATCCGCAATATCCAACAGGACTTTCTGTGACAGTGGAAATGCCACATCCTCTGCTGTCCAATGTGGTAACCCTAGTCACATGTGGCCAATGAACAACCTGAAATATGGTCTGTAACCCCGAAGTGCACTGACTTAACTTGAATTATTGTACACTTAAAATTTAAATGGCCACATTTAGTGTCTGTCTTAACACTACAAATCTATACAGTTTAAGTATCTAACCCAGAAATCTGAAAAGCTCCGAAATCTGGACTTTTTGAGCACCTATAAAACATTGCAAGTGGAAAATTCCAAACATGCGAAATGCAGGCATGCTAGGAATGTCACATAAGATTACTTTCAGGTGATGCGTATAAGGTGAATGTGAAACATAAACGGATTTTGTGTTTCAAATCAAGATGGTCCATTATGGATATTCAAATATTCCAAAATCCCTACTTTCTGGTACCAAGCATTTTAGATAAGGGATACTCATCGTGTATCATAAATTTTCTATTTTATAAAAGAAAAATTTACATAAAGGCCAATATGGACACTTTGGGGAGGCTGAAGGAAGATTCTGGAGCCCAGGCGTTCAAGACCAGCCTAGGTAACACAGCAAGATCACATCTCAATCAAATCACCCACATATGTATATCTTGCCAATTTATCAGTCTGACAGGTAATAAGTATTTAAAAATAAATTACCATTCTTTATCTGGCATATATGGCAATTTATCCTAACAGATGGCTACATGGAGTCTCTTTTAAACTTTTAGGTTCTTTACTGCAAATGGCTTTAATAATAAGCTATTATTTTACTCTGAGCTGAAATAATCAATACTAGCTGGCATTATTAAAGCATATAGTAGGTAAAAATACTGTGTGCTACTTTACATATTCTCAAAATACCCTGGGTAAGAGAAATTCTATTATTCCCATTTTCATAAAGCTCAAAGAGGCAAATAACTTAGAAGGTATCATAAAACTGGTAAATGAACTACAATTTGAACTTAAAGCTAGTCTTCTGTCACTTTAAATAATGGTTTGCAAAGACTGAAGTCTAATTACATAATTCAAATGGTTCAAGTTGATTGAGAATAAAAATATATCTAAAATTGGGGTAGAAAAGTATCTTTTCTAGGGCCTGGGATTTAGCTCAGTGGTTTCACCTCCTGCTGCACAAGCGCAAGGACCCAAGTTCGATCCCTGGTACCAAAAAAAAAAAAGCTCTCTGGAAAAGTACCTTTTCTGATTCATAGTAAAATTTAAAGAACATAAATCAACTAGTTTCAGGACAATCAATTTGAATAGGAATAAAAGCAATCTTTAAAATGTTATTTTTTTTGGTAGTGCATGCCTGTAATCCCAGCACCCAGGAGGCTGAGGTATGTGGATCCCTGGGAGTTTGAGGCCAGCCTGGGCTACACAGCAAGATGGTGCCTCAAAAAGTCAAAATTTTTGTCATTACTTAAATAATCCCTTAAAATAAGAGTAATGGAGGGCTAGGGATTTAGCTCAGTGGTGCTGCACCTGTCATGCAAGTGCAAAGTCCTGAGTTCAATCCCTGGTACTGGAAGAAAAAAAAAAAAAAAAAAAAAAAAGACTAATGGCCCAATTTATTAAAAGCCTATTTTTAGATTTATGCAAGTGAGTTAATATAATGTCCTTGCTTTCAAATATACTTAAATTTTAAGATGGTGTTTAAAAGCAGCATCTCTGAAATAAGACTGGTCAGCTTTTTAAACTGAATCTTTAAGTTGTAAGCATCTATAACTATCTTGGAATAATTCTTTACTAAAAAAATTACTATTTCTGAAGGCTACTTGTGGAAATGTCCCAAATAATAATTTTTAGGGCCAGGGATTTAGCTCAGTGGTTCCAGCACCTGACTCGCAGGCACAAGGTCCCGAGTTCATTCCCCGGTACCAAACAAACAAAAAATAATAATAATTTTTAAAAAGTAATTTGTTCTTTAACGTACAAATTTAACCAAAAATGTGTACGCTAACTGTGAAAAAACGGAAACTATATATAATCTAACAGAAACTTTTCAGTGTTGATCACGATTTTTTACAGAGTCCTAATTCACCTATTCCTGATTCTCCATTCTCTAAAGAGAGTAAGAATCTGGTAGTTAGATTTCAATGCTAAGATCTCACACCAGAAAACACTGGTTTTCTACTTCCAACGCTAAAATCTAGTTCCCAGAGTGCAGATCCTTTTAAAGGCCTCCAACCTAGTACCAGGAATTAAATCAAACTCGGGTTCTGTTTCTCCAGTTCAGTGCTCTCAGGACTGCAGATCCTGACACAGCACCTCATTCCACCCAGTGTCTTTAAATCTAACCCAAGAGTGAACAGCTGAAGCTGAATGTTGGTTTTCTGGCTTGGGAAGAGTAGATCCTCACTCAGAGAATTCAAGAGGAAAAGCAGAATCAGAAGGCATATGAGACAGCAGAAGTCCTCCTTAGACGTGCTGCATTTAATAGGCACACAATCCAAACTGTGGTGAGTGACTCTAGCCCATTTCTAGGAGTTACTACATCCACACAGAAGCGTTAAGACAAAGAGGGAAGAAGCACAATTCTGGAATATACATTTACGAAAGAGGTAGGTAGAGAAAGACCCTAAGGAGGAGCTGGGAGTACAAGCAAGAGTCTGAAATGTTCTCAGGGACTATGGTACAGGAACCTTACCACACTGCTTTGAAGTACCCAGCAATGGGCTGTTCCTCCCCAGCATCACCTGTGTTAACCTCACAAGCCCTAAGACTGTAGGGATCTGAAGAGAAAAGGGAAAGGAAGGATGCACATCCTGCAAGTATATAGTGGGCAATGCCTTCAACAAGTCGGCTCTAAAGCAGGAGGTACAGGAAGGGATTGCACTGAAGACCCTCAATTCAGTAAGAATGCTTCGGTTATGTGCTGCAAACACGTACTGGAATAAACCAACTAACCATGTTGGTCCTAGGTCAACTCCACTGTTCATTGTCAACTACACTGACAGTGCATTCTACACGGGCTTAGAAGACCTGGCCCCTGATCTGAAGAAAAAAGTTAAACTAAACATTTGCTACCATTTAGTTTCACAGGTACAGATATTGAAGTTAAAGCACTTAGGATAACAAACATCATATACTGACAGATTTCAGTTTCCAAACAGGAAGCAACCTCCTAACCTTCTGACACCTCTTGAATCATAAAGATCTGACCATCACCTTTCAATCCTAAAAGCAATAAATTTATAAACCAAAAAGACTGAGGTTCACAACTTAGGGGGCACTGTTCTCAAATCTCCTAAAGGAGCTATGAAACTGCAAAGCCTTTTAATCTATTATCTTTTACTGCTTTTAAATTTAAAGACTTAAAAAATACTCTGAAACAACTCCAAGAACAATGCTGAAAAAGGGTAACTGATCATCTTTGTACAAGACATCACTTAAAGATCTAATGCTTTCAGATGAGTGATGCTTGTAACTAATTTAAAACCAATACTTCTAAAACAATTATTTTTTTGTAATTGGGAAGACTGAAGTCAAAATCATATGCAAAGTGGATCATGGGGCTGGGAGGTGGCAGGGCTTGGTGGCAAGGCTGAGTCAACTCGTATCTGTGAGGCCCTGGGTTCCATCTCCACCACCGAGGGGGTCATCTATGCACACCAAAAAACCATTTCAAATCCAAGAACAGGTGTGTGGGTCCACGTCATTTCTGTGGCTCCTCAAAGTCCTCACATTGTTCTGCCCAAATGCTTTATCCCCAGGCTCTCGGCAAAAGCAGCAGAGCACTCGCTCTACAGCTGCCCACTTTGTGCTGGGTCCCCAGAGCCCAACTGTGTCCTTCCTGGAGTCTGAAAGGCCTCACAATTTGTTTTTTGGTATTTTGCTTCAATTTTGGAGATTTTTATTAAAATAGGAGGGACATATCTCTACTTAAATGCTAATAGCAAAAGACAAGCCTGAAGGTAAGGTATAATGCTATAATGCAAACCAGGAAGTTATTATGTTATTTATAACCTTTTTAGCTTAAAGATCCTCTTCTATTAAAAAGCAGAACTTTCACTAAGAAAAAAGCACTACCACCTGTGACCTTTACGGGCAGAAAATACTGTAGCTTGGGCCACAATTGTCACAAAAAATGACTAGCCAAACCTTGGGGAAGAAGAAGAAAAACTGGCTCTCTAGCTTCAGTTCCAATTATGGCTTACTCTATAAACATACATAAATTTCTCTTAATTTTTAATTTTAGTAGTTTCAGGTTTCCTTGTGAATAAATGCTAAGTCAGACATAAATTGTTACACAGCTACAGGACAAAACTTTACAAAAATAAAACATCCTAATAAAGTTCAGAATTGCACCTGTAAAACGTAAGCATGTTTCAGGATGTAAGGTCTCCTCTTACCTACTACAAACATGATCAATAAGCAGAGACACAGAGTCTAGGTTGTTGTCGAGTTTGGTATTGTGATACAGGCACCGGTCCCTTTGCAGTTCCACCGCCTGCCGCAGGAGAGTCTGTAAACGCCGTGGGGGAAGCATCACTGACGGTGGTAAATAGGCTTTGATGGGAGATATTTTTTAAAAAGAGAAATAAAAACAATAATAAACTGTAAACTTTTATTGAAGACATTTGCTCATCTTCTGCTGTATTTGTCCCTACCTCAATAATGGTGTCCCCTAAACAGACAAGGTCTAGGGATGTGTCCGTGAAAAGCTACAGTGAGGATGGGAATATACCTGGGGGAAAGGGCTTTATTTTGCAGGTGGATTTTTCTGGAGAAACAAACAGAAATCCCCCACCCCCAAAAAATGGTTTAGAAAAAAAAAAAAAGCAGATAATGACGATGAAAAGACCTAACGGTGATTACATATTAGTGGGAGGCCAAATGTAAGAAAATTCTCTACTCAACAAGGACAAGCTACAATGCGGTGGCAAATCAAGTTCCAGGCCCATCAAACGGCTCCTACTCCCATGGACATTGTGGAAACTCAAGAGTTAATAGCAATCATTTCCAATCTTTGAATGCCATATATGTATCTTCCTAATCTCACGGCTTTCTGAGTCTTAAAATTTCCACTTCTACTTCAACATTAAAACTATGTAGAGGGCCAGGGATTTAGCTCAGTGGTTCCCACTGCCTGCATCGCAAGCGCAAGGCCCCGAGTTCGATCTCCAGCACCGGAAAAAAAAAAGAAAGCTGTCACTGAAGAGGGGAGGAATAAAAAAATTTACCTAAGGAAATCTGGGCCTTACTACTGAAATCAACAAAATTTGTAAAATGCTTGTGACTTAAAAGTTCAGTTTACATATTGTTTACTCTTAACCATAGCACTTCTGCTCCAAAGCGTATCTTGAGAAGAGCATCACCTCACAATATGAATGAAATGACTTCCTGGGACCACGCCTCTCACGTTCTGGAGGCCACAAAGGTGGCGGACTTGGAAATTCTTTGGTTTAGAAGGCTGAGTGGCGCTCCCCTCCTATAACCACTCAATAAAAGTACACCGAGACAGGTCTAACTCACCCAGATTATCTATTTCTAATCTAAGAGAAAATAAACATCAAAAATTCAGGCTCTTGTCTGGGTGTGGTACAGCATGCCTGTAATACCAGCACTCTGGGAGGCTGAGGCAGAAGGCTTGCCAAGTTCAAGCCCAGCCTTGGCAACTTAGTGGGACCTCATCTCAAAATTAAAATAATTTTTAAGAAGGGGGGAGGTTTGTAGCTCTGCACAAAGGCCCTGGGTTCAACCCCAAGTACCACAAAAAAATCAGACTCTTACTCTGGAGTTTGTCCAATAGTTTTGATCGGGAAGCTGTCCCTTTGCCTTCCCATTCTGCTTTTGCTCGCAGGTCTTCTGCATGGCTACACATCAGATACCTAAAGACACAATGAGAAAGGAGCAAGTATCAAACCCTTCTCTTTGGAACATAATCGCAAATACTGCATTTTGGCTGTCCATTTCTTAATAATATGTACCAAGAAGAACAGTGGACCCAATTTATTAATATAACCTGACACCTGTGTAAAATTGCTAAAATGTAACAGTAACAGCTAAGCATCCAATGTTATTGTTATCCACAGAATACATCCTTATGTTGTCAAAGATCACATGAACGCAGCTTTTACAGTATGCTGGGCTCCATTCTAAGCCCTCATCATAAATTACTTCACTGCAGGTTCATGATGACCCCACATGAAGCAAGCACTACACTATTATTATTCTACTTCTATAACCGAGGACACCCAGGCACAAAAAGCTTAAGTAACTAGGCCGGAAGGGACAAGGGCATTTGAGCTGCAGACTTCGCTCCTAAGCACTGTGCTAGCTTCTCACTAGTAACTCAAAACTCAAAAAACCTTACAAAGGTATTTATACTAAATAAATTGAACAAAAACAACATGCTTTCCAGAGTTTATCACAAATATCACTCGAGAAATGTTATGAATTTCTAATATTGTATGTCATTTTGTTAAGGTACTGAGATCCCACAGCAAAAAATGTTCTATTATTCACTATATTTGCAAAAAAGGACAAACACTAAAGTCCATGGACTCTAAAGAACCTACAATGAGCATGACCCTAAGCTGGTTCTGGCTTTTCCGGAGGATGTGATTTGACAGTGAAGAAGGGGAGGCATCCTTCAAATAGGGAGACCTGGTCTGGCCAGGAACTCTCCTGCTGCTGTCTAGTCCTCTGCCAGGCAGCTGTGTCCTCCTCACATGGGAGGACCTGCAACAGAGCAACAAGGACCAAGGGGAAGCACCTGGAGTGCTTGTTCTGCTGCTCGCTGGACAGGAGAACTCCATAAATGACAACACGTGCATCAGAAACTTCTAGGTCAACACAAATACTGCCCCCCTTCTTTCTTGTCGTCTTTTCCCCCCCAGTACTGGAGATTGAACCCAGGGCCTTCCCACTGAGCTACATCCCAGGACCTGTTATTTTTAATAGGGTCTCACTAAGTCACTAAGCTGCCCACACTGGGCCCAAACTTGTGGTCCTCCTGCCTTAGTCCCTCAGAGTCCTGGGATACCCTCTTTCCTGAGTATTAAAAAAAGTATTGTAAATATTATACTCAAAAAGCCCTTACAGGAAACTGAATAGTATAAGAGCATGTTTTTAAAGTAACTTTATGGGAGAATTATTATGGTTTAGACAAACTGTCCCATTTTTAAATTCTGCAAAGTGACCTGACAATTGCTTCTTTGTCCTTTTGAAAATACATACTAAACTTTAGGCTTTAAATGAGAGATCTGTTTATGGGAAGTCCCATGGTACAACTGAGAAGATACTGTACTGACAGGCTTGGATCCCAGCTCCACATCTTGCCACCTCTAGGCTATTTCCCTTGTGTGAAAAATTCAGGAGGAAAAACTTGGTGGTGAAGTTGTTTCACTTTAGAGCAAAACTATGCATGTTCTCTTACCAGACCGGCCCCCCAAAATCCTTCATGTGAATATTTAAGTGATAAATCAAACAACATATAAAAAAGGTAATCAGAACAAAGTAATTTGTCAGCCATGGTATCAAAGCACCTAGCAGAATTTACTGTTCCAAGACCAATGACCTGGCAATCAACCAAATCAGGCTTTGTGACTTGGCTCTCTGATTTATCCTGGTGTAGTAGCTTGGTTACTAAGCAGGCCATGAGAAAATCCTAAAATAGGGTCAGATATTAAGAGTTAAATATTGCCTATCAACTGGAGACTGGATAAAGAAAATGTGCGTTTTTTTCATAAAATGGAGTGCTACTCAGCCATAAAGAATGAGAAACTAGACATTTATAGCAAAGTGGATACACACTGAGGTCATATTCTTAAGTGAAATAAATGGGAAACACACGTGTAAATACCGAATAGTTTCTGTGGTGTGGAAAACTGAAAGTGTAAATAAGGATCAAAATGTATAACTGATAATGTGAAATAGGAAGAAAAGAGGCAAAGGGGAAGGGGAAGTGGGAGGTGCAGGGGAAAGGAAAGAAGGGAATGGAATATGAGAAATGAAAAAATGGAAACAAAGTCTTTTTATATAGGGAGGGATGAAGGGGTTGAGGGAGGGAAGGGGAAGGGGGAACAAATAAGAACCAAGATGCATCATGAAAAGGTGCAAGATCCCAATGATGAATGTAACTGCATTGGACACCTAAAATGTACCAATAAACTTAATCGGAAAAAATAAATAAATAAAATGATAGTCCAACAACAACAAAAGAATTAAGTAAGCTTCAACATAAGTTAAGCTTAAACATATTAACAATGAAAACAAAGACAAAGGAGAAAGGGTTGAGACGAGGGGCAGATAAGGACCTTTCCACCCAGGAAGAACGCAGGTCAAGTTAGCTGACAGCCCCTCTGCACCCCAAACGAACTCGGAAAACGTTAGCAATGCAGGATAAGCAGTCTCTCTGTAAGCCCTCAAAACTCGCCTCCATTCACACAGCCCCTGCCCACGAGGCCGCCACAGAGCACACTGCCCTTCTTCCCCATCTCGCGAGCCGCGAGCCGCCACAGCTCTTTATCTCATGTTTCCAAGAAACTCTCTCCTAAATTCTTCCTTTTGTCCTCAACTTTATTCTTCAATTCTGGTTTTTGTTTTGTTTTTTTGGTACCAGGGATCAAACCTGGGACCTTGTGCTTGTGAGGCAGGCAGCAGAACCACTGAGCTAAATCCCTGGCCCTTATTTTTCAATTTTGGAAAATAAAACACTCAGGTTTATACAAAATTAACTATTTCACTGGGCCAGTCACTCACTTAATTGGAGGCTCAGTACTCCTATCTGCAAAACGAGCCCTAACCTGTCTGGGCCGTTCTATTGTCCCCCGTTTTGTCTGTGAACACTCATTACGTGTCCGTATTGTTGCAGATTTGGGGGATCATGTAGTGAAAAATGCTAAGAAAAAATGAAAAACAGTTACACGACATAAGGCAGCCTCAGTCACTTAGACTGGGACCTGAGCAGCAAGGAGCCAGAGACTGGGGAAGCACATTTAAGACAGAAGGTCAAGCAGTACAAAGAGCTGGTAAGTCAAGGAGCAGAAGTAATTAGTGTCACTACAGAGTAATGAATAAAGGAAAGAGCAGCAGATGAGGGCTCCTGTGGGCTTAAGCAGAAATTTTGGGTTTTATTCTAAATGTGCTAAAAAGCTAGTGGAAGGTTTTAAGCAAGGGAGTGAAATGACTTAATTTATGGTTTCACTATGTGTTTCTCTGGTGGCTGTGTGACATTAGCATTGTTAAGGGAATAAGGATGAAGTCAGTGCAATAAGGTAGGAAGTTACTGTAACATTCTAGGAGGGGTTCACTCGATGGCTTAACCAGGATAGAAACTGTGGAGATGGAAAGAAAAGACAGATTTGGGATGTTTTTGGAGCCAGCCCCACATGTCAAAGTTATAAGACAAAGAAAGAACAAGGACAAAACTTAGGTTTTCTGTGTGAGGAACCAATCCGGTAGGAGCTGTCATTTACTAACAGTGGCCCAGGTGGGTATGGAAGTGGGAGGAGATACAACTGCAGTCAAGACTTTTGTTCTGAACACACTGATTAGAAATCCAAGTGGAAACTAACCTGTCCTGTAAGCTACTAGCTACAAACAGGGCATTCAGATGAGAAGTTGGGCTTGGGAGCCCTCGGCACAGAGTTTGTGAAGGCATGGTGTAGAGTGAGACTACCTAGGAAAGGGTCAGACAGAAAAAAGGAGAGGGCCCAGACCCAAGCCTTTGGGTACTTTGACATTTAAAGGAATGATGTGAGAAGATGACACTGCTGATGTGAAATGCTTACAAGACCCTGGTACATGTGGTCATTTTAGAAATCTAAAAAAGATGTTTCTATATACTCCATTGCTTGCTATGATCCAAGCCCTAGGGTTCTGATGGATTTCTGATACAGTATTTCATACGTAATATGCATTTCTTCTCCCTTTCATCTATTTAACATCTTCCTATTCTAATACGAATAGCTTCCTAGGATGACAAAAGTAGATTGCACATACATCAGTGAATTGACCTACACTAATATTATGTAAGAATCTGACAATATCCAGGTATTTCTACCTGGGAAAAATGTTAAAGAAACTAAACTGTGGTGAGTGGCACGCTCTGTAAAAATAACAGCGCTGTCATGAACCCAGGGTCTGCACTCACCCACTAAGAACGTGGATGCGCTCTGTGTTGTACTTCAGGGGCGTCAGCTCACAGCGAAGAACCTGAAGTGCCTCCAGGACCTTGCCATCCTCCAGGTATTCCAGATACTTCTGCTGCAGCAGCAAAAACTTCATCCTCTGACATGACAGAAAGCAGCAGTCAGGGGAAAAAAGTTGATGGTAGTTTCAGAAAATGTTTGTGCCTAAACAGAACAGTAGAAACCATTCTACTATGCCCTTTGAAAATATTTATAAAGCTTCAAGATCATTAAAAATATTTTGGTTTAAAAAAGTCACAATAGATTAAATGTGCTCAACTTTACATCTTAGTAAAACTCAAAATCTGTCAAGCTCATTAGTGACCACAGTATCATCAATACAGAAAAAAGTGGAATTCTGCTCTCAGAATATCCTCCTAGTTTTATGAACATCTAGAACCATTCCAAGCATCTCAAAATTGTTTATTTTTTTTTAAAAAAAAGAGATGTGAGGATTTATTAGAGATAGATACAGGATGCACTCAAGAGTGGAGTACAGGTGCTTAGAGAAATGAGGCACCTTAAAAATTTTTCAAAACGTCTTTTACAGTAGAGCATTAAGAGGTTTTATGCACCATTTTTTTGAAGACTGGAGAAAAACCAGTTAATGGGAGAAATACTTAAAAGTCACAATGCATGGACTAAGGGTATAGCTCAGTGGTAGAGCACTTGCCTAGCATATGTGAGGCCCAGCACCACAAAAAATTAATTATCAAATGAACAAAATCCACAAAAAAATCAAACAAAAACTAAAAAGCCACAATGTGAAGAGGAACTAAGTAGACCAGAACGGAGAAGTAACCCCCTAGATAGAAAGATAAAGTGCCAGGTTTCAGCTTAGGCAGAGTAAGCGCATCTCTTCTAGGTGGCTATGACAGGATGCCTGCATTAGAGGGATGAGCTGAAAGGTCTTTAAAAAGTCTCAATGTTTCAATGTGTATATTTGGAACAAACTGATGGCTGATGTGTTTAACCCAAGCACAGTTATCATCAGCTCATCTGCCCCCCAAGAATAAAGCACTCTTGATTTATTGTGAGGTACTTTCATATTTAGATTTTTTTCCTAAAATGAATTGGCTTTAGTATTTTTTGGTGGTTTGTTTTTTTTGGTACCAGGGACCGAACTCGGGACCTTGTGCTTGCGAGGCAGGCGGTGAAACCACTGAGCTAAATCCCCGGCCTGGCTTTAGTATTTTTTAATGTTGCTTTATCATCATATTTTAAAATTGAAAGTGATCATCACAGTCTTAGCTTTTTACAAGGGGAGAGAGATGTAAACATCCTATCTTCAATTTCTTTTAAACCTTTAAGGTCACTGATTGGAGGGACACTTTCATCGTATTTGTTACTTATGCTAGAGCAAGCCAACTGATGTAGGCAGAAAAGTTTAGAAACACTAATAATATTTATTACACTAATATTAGTGTAAGAAACACTAATCATATTTAGAAACTTTAAGCTAAGGCATATAGTGGTAAGGATCTCAAATCCATTTTTTAAAAAAACCTAAATTAGTGTTTATCTATTAAGATGCTTATTTTAGCGGATTCGATCCCCGGTACCAAAAAAAAAAAAAGATGCTTATTTTAAAATCATTAAAAACATTATGCTGCTGTCATAACATGGCAAATATGTATTTACAGAATTAAGAGTATAATGAGCTGCTTTTCAAAGTTGTCTATTAAGGAGCTTTAGAAGAAAGGCATAAACTACAAGCTTATAAAATTTTCTCAAAACAAAGTAAAAAAAATAAACTCATATAAGTTAGGCAAACATTTATATATTCTTTTTAAGTCACGTGGTTCATGTTTGATAACAATCTAAATTTCAGAGACAAGCTCTGTAACTCCAGGAAAACCATTTACCAAATTTTACACTAAGACTGAGTCAGGAATGTGTCAGAAACAGACTAATCACCCAGATGACTGGAGAGGTATGCTGATGTACATGGGCCTTCAAGTTAACTTTTACAGGTCAAATAAAAACCTTCCCCAAGTTCACCAGATGGCAAAAAAAAAAAAAAAAAACCTAACCGAAAGATCTTTTTTAAAAAAGGATTTTTTAATGTAAGCTTTTCTTGATGTTCTCACCATTTTATCTTCTGTAAAGAATTCAATACTTTATAAAATGAAGAGCTCATACATTTCCATAATCAATACTATGTTAAAAGTTTCACTTAATTCAGTGTACTTTTTACTCAAATTTGAGAATCATATCTAGTTGCAGAATTCTTCCATTTAAACATCACATGGAACTGGCCAGCATGTGACTTAATTTCTTCACTAAATTTTCTTGGCAACTGGGAATTGGAGATTTTTTTTAAAAGCTTGGGGCAAGTCATTTTTGTGTTTATTAGTCATAAGGGCCAAGGCCCTCCCCCTTTCCAACGTGTGTAGAAGACAGTGCCCTAAGTGCTGTTTCCTCCTTATTTTCCCACCAAGATCTTGAGAGAACAAGCCACTCACATCCCATGGGCAGAGGCAGGGCAGGAGAGAGGAGGAAGGCAGACTAAGGCTTCAAGAGACGTCAATATAAACACACATTTCTGTACATACAGGGGATGTTATAAAAACAGGGCAACATCATCTCTCTCTGAGTCATTATATCCAGATTAAGACAAAGACTATCCTCAGACAAATACTGAATCTTACTACTGTGCATGACAACATGCTCTTAGCCAAACACAGCTAGAGATGTGGTTAAGAGATAAAAATGTGTAGCCTCCTAAAAATCAGTTCACAAATAACAAAGAGTAAAACTGTATTTTACCTCCCAAAATGTAAAACACAAAAATATAACTATAATCTCAAGAATTCAAACGATATTAACTATTTATGGGAAAGACTTTAAAAACCAGGCAAAACTGAAGCTTGCTTAGATGGAGACAGGAAACTACTTTTTTTAAAAAGAACATGGTGAGGGCACGACAGATGAAGAAAGGTGAGGAAGTACATCTCTCCTTTATATCTTTTCTCACTTCCAATTAGACCTCTATGAGATTATCTCTGGTTTCTATTGAGTTTTTGACATTTCTAGACCCAGCAATACTTCTTTCTTACTTTTAAACAGCTAATAAAAACCTGAAATTGACAAACGACTACAATAGCTTGACCAACAGCTCCACAGTGTGTTTGGACTGCTTTCTTTTTCCTCTCAAGATTGATCTGACCCAGGGCCTTCTTTATACTAAGCAAGGTTCTACCACTGAGGTATAGCCCCATATCCTCAGACTGAATTTTAATGTGGAAGAAAAAGTCCTACATTACGTTAACAGTGGGGATCAAACCCAGGATCTCACATATGATAGGCAAGCGCTCTACCACTGAGCTACAGCCCCAGCCAAAAAAGTTCTAAATTATGATACACACAAAGACTAGCTATTGGTCGTGGTTCTAACTCTGGAGTAAGCTTATAACACAAGTTGTATCAATTTAAAGTCGCAAAGGAAAGGGGAAATGAATTACATTTAAGCCATGGCTCTCAAAACTTCTATTTTACTTTAATGATTCATGAGTTCAGCTTCCAGAAAGTCCAAAGAAACTTCTGCTATTCCTAGTATCATTTGATACCATTTAAAAATGGGAAGGAGAGGGCAATGTGGTGAGGGGAATAGAGTGGGTCAATAGAACATTCAGGTTTAAAAAATAAAGTACAATTTTAGTCTAGACTAAGTCATTGAATGATTCTGAGTATACAATTAAAATAATTATGTTTACAAAAACCCAAATAGTTGTCTTTAAAAGTATTATTACAAACTTAGGATTATATTCGTATTAGATTATCTTCTTCTGGAGATGAGGTGGGGGAGAGGAGTAAATGTAAAGGTGAAAAGCAACTTCGAAAAAATGCTGAACTAAATCTTTAAAAGCAACCGATTTGCCAATGCTTAAAGTGAGGCAAAAGTTGGAACCCCTTTCTTTGTATAAATACCTAAACAGTTTGATGGTGTGAGGCTCAGCCAGGGACTTTATCTTCATCTTTTATTAGATCTTACAATGTTCTACAGACTGACCAGGCTGTAAAAAGAAAGGATTCCTACTTATTATCTACAACTACCTTTCTTTAGTTTGCATGTTTCCTTAATTTTAATTCACCTGAAGCCTATTTTTTAGAGTTGTACTTTTGTATAGAATTATACTGAAATCTGAAAACTCTACTGTAGTAAGTTTTAAAGGAAATTAAAAAACAAACAAACATCAGGTTCTATTAAGTTTAGACAAGGGTAGAAAAGATTAATGTCTGACCCAATTTAAGAAAACACACACATACAGACACACACACACGAAACACCAAAACGTTAACAGTCATTTACTAATATTTAACAAACAGCTGGTTTCCCTACTTCACTTCCTATTCGGCTTCTTTCCCTCCCCCACCAGACAGGAAACTGCTTCTGACAAGAAATGAATCAGCTAGAAGTTAAAAAGGCAACAGCCAACAGCCAGCAGCTGATTCTTCATGGTTTCTGACCACCAGCACTTGGAAAAAACATACACCCTCCTTTCCCTCACCAACATCTGGAGAACTGAAGCCCATCTGTATAAAAAGATTCATCAAGATTTGAGAAGGCCGGCAAGTTAAACTATGAAACTGATCTTGTCAGGGAAATAAGGCAAGTAAGCAGGGCCCAATGGTCAAATCTGTATATTCTCCCAGAGTGATACATATGATAAACACTTTGACACTGTCAATCCACACAACTTGGAAGGCAAGAATGGAAAATGGTGAGCACCAACTTATGCTGGTTTGAATTGACTATAACTCCCAAAGAGTGGGTGGGGGTAATTAATGTACCAATTCATTAAAGCTATATGGATTTATGACACCTACACATTTTCTCTTTAATAGTACACTTAGTATTTTGAGTAATATAAAAATATATTCATGCTTTACAAGTATAAAACACCCATTAATAGCACCGAAAGCAGATCTTTCAATATCATTTCTGTAGAGCTTAACTTATAAACCAGGTTCACGTGACACATTTACTAAGTATGATCTTACAAATATAAAACATACTTTAAAACACAAACTAATTCTAGATTACAAATTCAATTATATAAAATTTAACTACTTTTAAGCCTTATCTTCTGTAAGAGGCAGATGCCTAGTTATCAAAAACCTATTAAAATAAGCATAAATGTGAAACTAAGAACAAAAGTGTATTTACCACAATTATTCCCAACAACGTTTGAGAGATTTCAAGTGCGCCTCTTACCACAATAGCATGAGGAGAATGCACTAAAGGCTTTAGTTCATTCAGGTCATTTTCTGCCTGCAAAAATTGATATAAAAGAAAAACAGAAATGTCACAAAATGCACATTCAACATACAATTTCAGCAGCAGTCACACAGTTCTATATGCCCTACTTTACCTTATCCCAGTCTCCTTCCATGACATGATTTCGGAATTTGGTGGCAGAAGGATGTTCTAAACGACATCCTGACTCTTGCATGAGGAGATCAACAGTCTGGCTGCAGGAGAGATACAGTGTAAAAAAGACCTGACCAACTTTCCAGTTTTAGTCTTCCAAATAAACGCATGTCTATCAAAATAGCTGCAAAGTTTTTAAACTAACCTCATGATGAAGAGAAAAAAATGGTTTTAATTTACTTAAACTTGACTTAAGTGCCAACTACATTTATTCCTAGTCAAGTTAAAAACTTTTTCTTGAAACTAGAATCAAATAATTTCTTCCGGTTTTTGCTATTTAATGTCTCAGAAATTTAATGAAGTATAAAATTTCCAAAAATGTGTTTTAATTGGTCAGCTAAGTGCTCCACACCAAAGTACACATGACCTGTGTCAGGTACAGCCTTCTGTCTAGGTATGTTTGTGCAAAATTCTATTAGATCAATCTTTAAAATTAAATAAATCTAACATCAAAACCCATTTCCTTTCTGTCTCTACTAAAAATAGCAAATTTACTAAGGTGTAGGTTCCAACAGTCACGAGTTATTTCCTCCTGCGGCTGTCAGCTTGCTTGTCTCAATAACATGTTCTGTTAGCATTTACAAAATCTGTTTTCATCCTAACCCTTTTCCTCGGGGAATAAAGTGAATCTCCCTACCACATTATTTCTCTTTAAGAGCTTAAAAAAGATTCATTAAATGCGGTTCCTTCTACCAGATATGTTGATACCTCTAGCAGACTTGTATGTCGGTTTCAATGTAATGCTTTCCTTGGGTCTACCTATTTTCTTGGCTAAACAGTGCAGTCACCTGCCTGGGAAGCAACTTATGTCACTTTTTAAAGACCTGCCTTCCTCACTCCCTAGCAAATTCATAAATACGACACTACACACTTTCCAGCCTAATTCTTTAACCCACACCTGGAAGCTAGGGAACTGCTGCATGATTTTCCCAACTTCATCACATCCCAGTTTACCCCTCCATCGGGCTCCCCAATCCTATCTCCCACCCCTTTCGTTTTTCTTTGTGTGTATACAAAACAGTGATTTTGTGCCAAAGCCAACGTCTACCTTCACTACATGGTAGCTACATAAAGCCATTTAAAGTGTATCTGAAAACAAATGATTCATCGGATCAGAAGTCCCTATTTCAGAGGCAATCATCTTGACGGTTTTAAACTGGGACTCCAGCCTAGTTAGTGTGGGGCTTCCCGCACACACAGGGCATCCCACTTCATCATCCCCTCAGAGGCTTTCAGCCCCCTCTCCCAAAGAGCCCAGCCCCGAGTCCCCACAAACACTTGTAGGTGGCTGCCTCTGCCAATTGGTGGTTTGCCTGGGTTGTTGTCACGGCTGGGGGTGGGGAGGTGTCCCACAAAGATGTCTCCGAGACACTCGAAAAACAAATCCTCCGAGATTCATTATTTCCCCCCGCTCAGGCCCTCGCGTCCGCCGTCACAGACGAACAATCAGGCCCCGAGGTGCGGGTCGGGCGGGGGCTCCCGGTACCAGTCCCCGATCCGCCCCCCCCCCCCCGGCCCTGGCCCGCAGGCGGCACCTACTTGAGCCCCAGGCCATTCAGGTGCTGCCCGATGAGCCGGATGACGTCCTCGTCCGACTGCGACAGCCGCTTCTTCTTCTTCAGGCCGCTGCCCAGCTCGGGGGCGGCCAGGGCGGCGGCGGCGGCCCCGCCGGGGACCCCGTGGTGGCCGGCGGCGCTGCCATTGTTGGCGGCGGCGGGTCCGGGCGGCGGCAGC